CCAAAAAGATCACATGGATCTTCTAAAACACACAAAAAGGGGTTTAAAACAAAGCGTAAGGCCTGGAGGACAGCAGAATCCCCAGACTGCTGCCTCCCAGACTTCTTCTTCTTCGATGAAAAAGGCAGGCTGGAGAAAGCCCAACATGACACGGGCAGGTAACTCCTCTGCATCAAAAGTAAGTAACAGAGGAGTGGATCCACGAACATCAAATCCCAGAGGCAGAACAGCCACCACCACTCAGGGAGGTAAACACGTCAGAAACAGAAACCTCATTGGACTCGCAGTATACTACCCCCTTAACCAAGGCACCAGAACGCGACTCAGAAACATCCACTTCCACTCCCATTAATGTTTCAAGCCGCTGCGCTTTGAGGCACTGGGCCCTCGTCCGACAAACCACCATCAACACACCAGGAAATGTGACAGTAGCGTCATCACATCCCCAATCACCATACTGATCTCCCTGGACACCGTGAATGGGTTGGATGTTTCAAAACGCGCACCAGCCACCGCCCTGATGCAGACCACAAAGCCACCCTCCGCTGCTTCGCCTGCGCATCCCAATCACCGTCCGATGCATCTCTGCTCTTCGCACGGTCTCTCTTACCTGCCCCAGACCCCGCCAGTGAATTGGCCGCCCTGGCCTTTTCAGCTCCCTTCTTCACCATTCACCACCATAAACGTGCAAAGTTGAGCCGCCATCTTACCGGGCCCGTACAGGCCGTCGGCTCACCACCCAAACCTGCCTATCAAGTCACACACAGCCACCACAGCAATCAGCTGGCCGACCTCCAGTCTCTTCAGATCCCTAGTGCAGAGCTCAATGTGTCTGGTCGCCTCCCAGACTGCTGAAGGCACAGCTTTTTTATCCCAGGTGTGGGTCGTCAGAGAGATTCATCTCAGCTGTGCTCCTCAGCCGCGAGGAGGAGGAGGAGGAGGAGGGGTGTCAGGCTGATCACCAGGGCTGGGTGATCCTGGCTCCTGCATCCAAAGTGGCCAGGCTGGTGGCCATAACATGGAGAATCGGTCAGTCATGGTTAGATTTGTCTGTAATGGCATTCCAGAGGAACACCTGATTGGTCCGCTTGACCTCAGTCAGTTAAATGCTGAATTCATTACCACCCAAACCCTTGAGCATCTCTCTGACTCAGGCTATAGTGCAGCTGAAATGATCAGTCAGTGCTCTGATGGAGCTTCTGTCATGAATGGGGTCAGGGGTGGGGTTCAGGCCTAACGGCAGAAGAAGGTAGAGAAGAATGTCCCCTACATCCACTACTACAACCGCCAGCTGCACTTGGCAGTGGTCCATGCAATGCAGGCAGAGCCATGTGCAAAAACCTTTTTGATCTTTCAGGATCTCTACACTCATTTTTCCACCGTCATTATGTTTCACAGAACTATGATGTTCCCTCCCTGAAACGACTGTTGGAGATCAGGTGGACAAGCCACCATGATGTGACCAAGCGCCTTGTGGAGAATCAGGATGCTATTGTGTGTATCCTGTCAGAGGTTACAGAGGACGGAGCTGCTGCTGTTGATATCTGTACAGAGGCATCAGGACTTTTGATGATGTTAAGGAGGCACAATTATTTTGAAATAGGAAAATTCCCCCTAAAAGTTCTGGGTTCCCTGAAGTCTGCAAGTTCTATGCTGCAGTCTCACTCTGTTGACCTGTGCTGTGCTTCAGAAGTAGTCAGTGCATCTCTGCAGGCTTTGAGGCAGATGAGAGAGGAGGAAAGTGAGGCATTAACCAGCACACCTGCACCAGCTGCTAAAGACAAAGAAAAACAAGCTCACTGCTAACAGGTAGTGTTGTAATGTCCACTGTGGGCCACGCAGAAGACTCCACAACTCCTAGCCAGGCTCTGAAGAGAGCTCTTCTCAACATTTTGGACATAGTCATTGTAGAGATGGAGACAAGATTATCCAAAAGCAATCTCCATCTCATGAAAGCCGTTAACTGCCTTCAACCTCAGTCTCCCTCTCTTCAGGATCCTGACAGGTTAAGTCCTCTGCAGAAAATGACAGGAAGTGACAAACTTTCCAATGAGATTCTTGTTGCAAAAATAATGTTGGAGAAAGAATTCAAAAAGACTGATGATGATGATAACAGTGTAGAGTTTGTAGACCAAATATCTACATGGGTATAAGAATGCCATTCCTCAGCTCCATCGCATGTAAGTGACCTCCTTTGTGATCAGAATATCAGCAGCATCATGCGAGAGCTCTTTCTCCACTTTGTCTCGTGTCCTTACCCCGTTCCGCCGTACTACGCTACACGAGAGAAAAAGAAATGTAGTCATTCTGGCTCACGAGAAGGCCGTAACAACAGGCCTAGATATGGATGGATTTGTTAGGACTTTTGCACAGAAAAGCAGACGGCTGATGCTGTAATGACTGATAAAAGCCATAAAAAATACACAAATTCTAAAAAAAAAAGAAATAAAAAATATATAAGTAAAATAAAAAATGGAAGGATGGACAGATAAGATAAATAAAATAGATTAAAGGCATAAAAAAGTTAAAAATTTAAAAGGCAGGCAGGCCCAATAGGGAACAAGTCAGTGTCCTATTAGTGCCGGTGCCAAGCCCGGGTAAATGCAGAGGGTAGTGTAAGGAATGGATCAAAGGAAAATATAGGTATATGGATAGATGAACTGTAATGATGATAGCATAATTTTCTATACATTTTAGGGATTGGGGGGTATGTGACACCCGAAAAATTATTTCCCAGACCTGCACCCCCTGATATTCTACCTGCCCCCCTTTGTAGGGCTGGCTAAGTCCGGCCCTGTTCCCAACAGTGTATTTATTTAACATTTGATGCATGATCCATGAGAATACACACATTAGTTTTTTTATTTTATTTTGCAAATTCTAGGTTTTCAGGGATGCTGCCTTCTCCTTTGATTGTTGCTCACTGGTATTCTAATATTCATTGATGTTTCTTATAAATGTTACATATTCATTCATTCATGCACGCATGCAAAACAAATCTTGCATAAAATCGTGTTCATGCAATAACGGGATGCAAATTCAAATCAAACCCTTTAACATTGTGCATGCATGCAGTCAGGTACTTCTTGAAGAAGCTAGGTCATTAGTGTCAAATTTTGGTCCTCGGAGGCCGATACCTGGCTTGTTTTAGTTGTTTCCCTGGTCCAAAACCCCTGATTAAATGTTTAAATGACATGTTCAGCATGTCACCAAGCATACGGAAATCTGTTTATCACCCACTGATTAAAATCAGGAGTGTTCTAGCAGAGAGACCTCTAAAACATGTAGGATGGTGGCCCTTCAGGACCAAACTTAAAAACCACTGCCTTTGCGTGTTATGCCTCTTGGTAAAAGTTAACTGGATGAAGTTGCATCAGGTAGTCATGGTTTGGCAGTAAAATCAAAAGCTAAATATGAGGTTGTGGGAAATAACTGCATCAACACAGATAGTCAAAAAACTCTGCCAATAGTAAATAGAATCGTCTGAGGGTGGGACTTTCTTGTTGAAAGCAAGTTAGGCTGTTAGAAAATTAAATAAAATATTGTTTCAAGGTCCCTATGAAGTAAATATGTTGCACTGAAAAAAATAACTTCAAATTAAAATGATATTTAATTGATATTTTGAACCTGCTACAGATTTGTCACAGCCCCCCCCCCCCCCCCCCCCCCACACACACACACACACACACACACTGCCAAACTGCTCACATTTAATATGGATGAGACTTTCATCACTTTTTTATGGAGCTACAGCTTCTCCAGGGTTTAGAATTAGCTCAAATGCTTCAATGGTTCATACTTGTTTCCTTCTCTTTTTAAAATAAATCTGATTTATATAAACAACAAACCCCATCAAACTAAGAATAAACAACACTCCTAATCATCTCAGATACACGGAGGTTAATTCCTTTATCTCCTGAATGAAAACAATACTGTTTTATCTCCATTAAGTAAAAAAAATAAAATAAAAAATCAGTGAAATGAATTATTTTAAACTTCTTTTTGCACGATCAGGGCGAGGGAGGAAAACGTCACCAATACAGAAATCAGCCAAGAGCATACAGCATTAGACTCCTTAATCCCACGATTATGTTGGTAATCTTAAACTAATTCTCCCTGGGCTCCAGTCTTTACAGTGATGCCCTGCTATCAAAGCCTCTCTGGGAATTTAAGTGTGATCACAGTTTTCCTCAGAAGATGAGCTGAAACCAGCTGACAGGAGTGTTTCAGCAAAGGGATGAGTTATTTTATGTTCACATGTTTGATTCTCTTTACTCCCTCATCGAGCCAGCTAGCTCAACGTTGGCTGAATAAACGTTGCTGACATTTTGAGATGATCAGTTTTGGAAAATGTAATATGGGGTAAAACATCCTGTAAACATCCTGGTATTTTAGGAAGTCAATGGGAACTTGCTCCTTTCGGCCCCCAGTGGATCGATGGGGAATTGCAAGTTGGCTTCCTCTTTGGCAGGCACAGTTTGCCCTTGGGTCTTCACACGTGCTTTGTAAATAAACAACTCCTGTGTTGTTTTTTCACAACAAGTTTTTGTACAAGTGAACTCTCAGGTGCACACTCTCCTTACGTGAGGATTTTTGCAGCTTACAGGATTTAAAGCTGCACACTAAGGTGTAGAGCGAGAGGAATTCCTGTCCTGTGGCCACCCACTCATGCACGGCACTCTTCAGTTCCACAGGTTTCTCTGTTGGGGAAAATCATAATCATGACTGTTGTGGACCAGGTTGTATTGTGTCAAAAGCACATCAAAGGACATGATTTTGCTTCCTTCTTCCTGCAGAGCAGAGTGGACTCAAGGGCTCAAATTAAAAAAGCGGTCTTTGGTTGCTGTTGTCTTTGAATGATTGATGCTGTTGCTGGAAAAACATTAAGTGCTCTGCAGTTAATTGATCTTATTAAATAGCTTATTTTTCTCTAACTGGTTTTGCAAATCAACACAAATTTCCTTCTAACATATCTTTATTGTGCGTGTTTTTTGATTTAGGGGGCGCTGGTCACAGCCTGTGCAGACGACACGCTGCACTTGTGGAATTTACGCCAGAGACGGCCGGCTGTCCTGCATTCCCTCAAATTCAACAGAGAGAGGTATCGGTGTCCCTTCTGCTTGATAAAACCACGAGTGTCTACACACAGTTATCCGCTCCCCAAAGATGCACTCAGAGCCCACACCAGTGAGAAGTGAATGTGGCTGTCGGTGTGTATCAGTGAATTCAGTTTTACAGGCTGTCAAAGGTGTGACTTCCCCTCACCCTCTGGGTCTGTCTCCCCATGTGAGATCTCCTGCTATTTTACGTCTTTCATGCTGCTGAACTTTGCTCATCCATCATCCTGTACCAAGAAAAAAAAAATCCCACCAGCTTTGCTCCTGTGGTCGATAAAATCATTTTTGGTTTAGATTTTGTGAGATGGTAACCTTCCACCTCCAAGTTTTAACCCCAGAAGGTTTATTTGCACTTAACCCTTGGACTCACATGAAGAACCAGTTTCAACTGATTTCAGCAAACAGTTTGGAGCCTTTGAAGTCCACAACACCACATTAGGTATGACAGCCTGGTCACCCTGTGCACCATGGTTCATCTCTTTTATTTTACTTGTTGTAGGTCATCTGTGCAAGTTTCGTGACTGTAGCTGTAACGCTAGGGACCTCCAAAGAGAAGCAAAATTCTGTTTTGAAATGAAATTGTTTATTTTTACGACATCTGTATGTAAAAGTCTGCCAGATGTTTTCCCTCTGAGGCCACACGTTTTAACGCATTGCAGGATGGTGAAAAGCACATTATTTTTTTTTTATTAAGAACAAAAAAAATTCTTTTGAGTTTGGACTGAAAGGTGCCATTCTGAGAATTTCTTCTTGAGCATCTTTTGCCACATTGCTTTAAATCCCCTTCTCAAACCAATGGCAACAAATTAATTGAAAGTTAAGTCAAAAATTTTAATAACTGCAGTTAAAAAAAGATTTAATAATTTTAATTGCCTCTGAAAAAAACAAGCATGTAAAAACGTCCTGGTACCGCTTCTAAATCACCAGATCTTGATCCATCCATCAAACCGCTAATTTGAATGTCTCTCATTCTGATGCACATAACACCCTCACTGGGCAGAAATGCTCGTTCTAAGCGGAGCAGCCAAACAGGAAGTAAAGCTAGCTTAGCTGCCTAGTGTCGTGTAAAGGATGCCCTGTTCTGTGCAGCACTGAAAAACCATTTATTAAATGTTATTTCTGAATACAATCAGTCAGTTTTTCAGGCAGGCTGATATGAAAACTGTCTTCTAAATTAGCTTCCGATAGAAAATAGACTGTGAAACTCTAGGAATTGAAAAGCCCTACGGATCTATGTCACACTGACACTCAACATTCATGGGCTCACCCGTCTTGGCACTTGACAGGGAAGGCTGTTGTTGGTTTAGTGTCTAGGGAACAGCTGAGAGCGTCTCAGCCAGTAGAAGCTAACTGTTAGCATTAGCATCTTCACCAAACAGCAGAAGTCCTCCAGGCGTGTGTAATTTATAACTTCAGTATTGTAGAGCAAATTGACTTCAGTATTGTAGAGCAAATTTACCCATTTTACTGTGCTGTGGTCTATCGTCCACTGGGTCCAAACAGTTCTTTCCTTCAGGAGTTTAGTGACTTTCTATCCTCCTCTGTGAAGCTGTCCAGACTGGTGATTGTTGGTGACTTTAACATCCATGTTGATGATCCCTCGGACCATTTTGCCATGAATTTCTCCAGCCTTATGGACTCATTCAGCTTTACCCAGCATGCTTCTGGCCCCACAAACACTAAGGGGCACACTCTAGACCTTGTTTTTACCCTGAGTCTAAATGCTGACAGTGTTTGTCCTGAGGACGTTTATATTTCAGATCACCATTGCATTTTCTTTAACTTGTCAGTTTCTGCATCCCCACCTCCTGCTCGCCGTATGGTTAGTTCTCGTTTTCTTAATGAGAGCACAGCTAACAATTTTTCTGCTGCTTTTGATCCACCCTGTTCTTCTGATAACGACCCAGATTCCTTAACTTCTCAGTTTAACGAGCACTGCCTCTCCATTCTGGACAACATCTGTCCTGTCAGAACCAGATCAGTTCCTGCAGTGAACCCTACTCCCTGGTTTAATGACAGCCTTCACAGTCTAAAGCGCCAATGCAGAAAAATTGAGCGCTTGTGGAAGAAAACCCATCTCCACGTCCATCTGCTGCACCTAAAGGACCTTATGACATCCTTTAACTCTGCAGTCAGAGACGCGAGAGTTTCCTATTTCTCCAACCTGGTGTCCCAGAGCAAAGGGAACCCCAAGGTGCTGTTTAACACCATCAGCAGCATTGTCTCTCCTGCCTCTCCTACAGCCTCCATCCACTCTGTTGCAGACTCTGAGAACTTTCTGTCTTTCTTTGTGGACAAAGTCAATAAGGTTAGATCTAGCATCTCTCCTTCAGCCTTATCGCTGCCTCTCTCGACTCCAACCAGGCCCATCGTCCTAGATAGCTTTGCTCCTGTTTCTTTGCCTGAGTTAACCAAACTAGTTAACTCTATGAAGACCTCTGCATGCCCCTTCCACATCTTACCCTCATCTTTGTTTAAAAGTGCTTTTCAGTCCATCGGTCCCAGCGTGCTCTCTATAATTAATGCTTCTCTGGTTTCTGGTCAGGTCCCTGCTTACTTTAAGAATGCTGTAATCCACCCGCTTCTTAAATAACCGAGTCTCGACCCCTCTCTCCATAGCAGCTTACGACCCATCTCTAAACTTCCGTTCATCTCCAAGATCTTGGAAAAGGTTGTGGCTAAACAACTCACAGCTGCTCTTGATGAACATAACATCTATGATATCTTCCAGTCAGGTTTTCGTAGAGCTCATTCTACTGAAACAGCTCTTCCTAGGGTCTCTAATGACCTTCTAACTAACAGTGATGCAGGGGACTGTTCTGTTCTGGTCCTGCTGGACCTGACTGCAGCCTTTGACACTGTTGACCATCACCTGCTACTGGCGAGGCTGAGAGACTGGATAGGCCTATCAGGAACTGCTCTGGAGTGGTTCTCCTCTTACCTCTCTGAGCGCTCCTTTTCTGTGGCTGTCTCCAAGTATAGGTCCTCCACCACCTCTCTTACCCATGGTGTCCCACAAGGTTCTGTGCTGGGGCCTCTGCTCTTCCTCCTCTATTTGCTCCCTCTTCAGCACATCCTGAGCGCCTTCAAAGGAATCTCCTACCATCTTTATGCAGATGACGTCCAACTGTACATCTTCTTTAAGCCCCGTGAGATGTCTAAGCTGCAGCTGTTACACACCTGCTTAGACTCTATCAAAACCTGGATGGCTGGGAGCTTTCTACAGCTGAATGAAGATAAGACTGAGATCCTCATCTGTGCCCCAGACAAGCTGGTTCCCAAAGTCAGAGACTCTCTTGGTCAGCTTGCTTCTCACACCAAACCTTCTGTCAGGAATCTTGGTGTGACCTTTGACTCAGCTCTCACCCTGGATTCTCATGTCAGTTCTCTTGTTCGCTCTTCCTTCTTCCGTCTCAGGAACATTGCTAAGCTGAGTCCCATTCTGTCTCTCTCTGAACTTGAGACAGTTCTCCACACCTTCATCTCCTCACGCTTAGACTACTGTAACTCTCTTTTCACGTGTCTGAGCAGAACCTCCCTGAACCGTCTGCAGGTGGTTCAGAACGCCTGTGCTCGGCTTCTGACCAAGTCCTCCAAACATCACATCACCCCGCTTCTCCTCCAGCTTCATTGGCTGCCAGTCAACTTCAGGGTTCATTTCAAGATCCTGGTTCTGGTCTATAGGGCCTTACATGGACAAGCACCATCTTTCATTGGTGATCTTCTTAGTCCCTACACCCCCAGCAGGTCCCTGAGGTCCAGTGATCAAAGCCTACTGGTTGTGCAGCACCAGGCTAAAGACCAAAGGTGACAGAGCATTTGCTACTGTGGTCCCCAGACTCTGGACCTCTCTCCCCCTGAGCCTGAGATCAGTGGACTCAGTGGTCTCCTTTAAAAAGCAGCTGAAGACTCACTTGTTCAAGCTGGCTTTTGTATGACCTTCTTCACCACTCTCTCTCTTTATTCTGCTCTCCCCACTTATTCCACCTTCCTCAGGATCCACTGATTTCCCTCTTATCTATTCACTCTCTCTCTTTCTTAACATTTTTTTAATCACAATTGTCTATTTTTTTGCTCATTTTAAATATATTTTAACCATTTTCTAAATTCTTTTTATATTTTTAAATTTTTTGTTTTTGTGAAACGCCTCGTGATTTTTATCTTGAGAAGCGCTATAAAAATATATATTTTCTTCTTCTTCTTCAAAGAGTCGGTGCAGTAGAGTTGTGTTGCTGTTGGCCAATCAGAGGCGAGATGTCTAAAATATCAGGAAACCAAAGTCCAAAACCTGCTGTGTGTGGTTCAGCTGTGATGTGGTTCACTTCTAGTTTGTGAAAATCGTGAGTGGGAGGAGGTTTGGTTTGGTTCTAGAAATTTTGACCTTGGAAGTCAGTGTTGCACCATCTTCTGCAACCATCAGGTTCTGTTACTCAAGGAGGAGCCTGAAGATAAGATAAGATTTTTTTATATGTAGCTTGCTTAAACTGCTTTTTCCTAGAACGATCACTGTACCTTTAAGTGCCACAGCAGTGTGAACAAACGTTCGTCATAAAACTGTGTGTAATGTGTAGCCAAAGAGCCTTTGCCACCTATTAAAAGTTACAAGGCGCTGTCGATCTGTAGGAACCTTTTGTCGTTACTAGAACCTTTTCAGGAGCCAGCCCATATAGTGAAGAGAGCAAATGCTGTTTACGGCTGGTTCTCGTTTGTCTCGCGGCTGTGTCCATAAACACACAATAGTCTACCTACACTAACTTGGAGGTAAAGGTTTTTACTGGTGTTTCTGCATCAAAGCTGCTTTCTTCTGGTCTCTGGTGCAAAAATGTAGGAGGCAGAGCCACTCGCTCACAGCGGAGGAGCAGTGAATCATGTCCAAAGACAAAAGGAGGCAAAAAGGGCACGATGAGCCAAGCTCTGCCTTTCCATTTAGCTCCGTGTCTCTGTGCTGAACCTCAAACAACTATCACTCCAACACCCCATCAGGATAGCAGAAGAATAACGTCTGAAGATCTGTTTTTGTGACGACTGTCAGCCAGCAGCTCCTGCCTGCCACACTCGCTTGACTGGCGTGCCGTTGTCACAAAGAATTTGAAGACAAGTCCAGACAAAGCTGTTCCACGACGCACATCACATGGAACATTCACTGTTGTGTTCAGCACAATGAAAGGAGTCACTTGAGCTGATGTGGTTGTCATTAAGAGATCTGTCTGTTGTTTAATGATACAGGAAGTCAGGGAGGAATTCTTTTAGCAGTTCACTGGAGTCACAAAGCACCTGATGTTACCTATGAGTCAATCTATCTGTTTACTTCATTAAAGGGTATTTTCTCCTAAACTGGTCCAACAGAGATTACTGTAATGGTAGTTTAACCATTAGAATGAGTATAATCGGTGTCTGTCTAAATGGCTTGAGTACAAGATGTGGTTAAGCAGTTGTTAGTACTTTATTAGTATATTAATATTTAATGATGCACTAAGTAACGTTGACAAAGGGACCCTTATTGTAAAATGTTAACAAAAGCTATTATTCTTGTTTCTTTGTTTTTGTTTGTCCTTTATTTTCCAAAACATTTGTATCAGTTAATTTCTTGGATTTTGTGTAAATAAACAGCTTAGAGACTCTTTAGATGTTGCCAGGTCCACCAAGGCCTCACTGCCCTCCTTGAATATTTTTAATGAGAGGTCCACTTTCACAATTCCATTGCTCTTTTTTCTTATCTTGCTATCGCCTTACATCGTGAACTGGAACTTAAACGTTATCTTGACTTCTGTAAATTCGATTGCATGAAAAGGCAACGATGTCTAATTTCCTGCAGTCTCTGTCCATTGCCCATGCGTTAGATGTATCTGCTGTAAGTTTGTGTTTGATTTACATAAAATAAAAATGGGAATGTGTAAAATCAACATAAACAAACGGTTTGTCATATAACTTAAGATGACTGAATATTCCTCTGTTACTGCCCCCCACTGCAAGTTTGGATATCGTCATCTCCTCAAGCCCATAAAACCTTTATTGAATTGTTTGCCGTCTCATATGTCTTCTATCTAATAATCCTGCTGCTTGCAGGGTGAGTGGCTGTTGGGCTGAAGCCCAGTGACTCCATCCCCTGCAAATCTGCGAGGTAATCAGCATAGACAAGAGTAACTCAGTGTGGATGCTGATCCTTATGACATGCTGAGGATTATATAAGTCAATAGCAGAGTAATGATTGCTTAAGCTGCCGGCTTCAACGTTGTTTATCGGCCACATTAATAAACAATTAATGCAACACAAGTCTGTGTCAGGGTTTCTAGAACGTACATGAAATCCATGAGATTAAAATGTGTCTACCAGGTTCAGAAATAAAGACTCAGAAAAACGTTCAATTGCTCTTTTAAATGTCGTACACTGTAGACTAATTTAGCTTTCCATCATGCCTGAGAGCAATTACAGATGAAGTTGTTGAAAGAAAACACAAAACGGGAAATGCATGGGCAACATAATGAATCCTTTGTAACGTTGAAGACTGGGAGCTGTGTTTCAAGTGTCGGCAACGGCTGCATTTCACTTTTACTGTACGTTGACAGGCTGGGGTGCAATGTGACAAACACGAGAAGAGACCAGGCTTTTATTGAGTTGTGAAAAGGCCCAAGGTGCCGTTTCGGCTGTGTACAGCTTGGATCAAGTTGTGATGGAACTATAACCATAAGAGAGAAGCAGAGCTGTGGACAGAAATAGCAGGAGGTGCAAAGGTGGGCGGTAATACCTGCACAAAAGGTGCCACACTGTGGAGGAACACGGGCAGTTTTCTAAAATAAGCCTGGACACTGAGTCAGGACACAAACTGTAAATGAGTCACCATGTGACGTCTTTTAAAAAAAACAGAAGTAAACTTAATGTCTTGATTTCAGTGGTACAATAGTTTCTGTTTATTTGGCAACGCTTTTATCCAAAGCGGCGTACAATTGTTGACCTATAGGGCAGGGGAGCCCAATCTTGGTCCTGGAGGGCCGGTATCCAGCAGGTCTTGTAGTTTTTCTGCTCCAACAGACTTGAGTCAGTGGTTGAAACACCTGTGCAGCAGCTCATCAGGCTCTGCAGAAGCCTGTTAATCAGCTGCTGATTGAAATCAGGTGTGTTGAAAGAGTTAAAACTAAAAAATGCAGGATACCAGCCCTCCAGGACCGGGATTGGGCACCCCTGCTATAGGGCATGTTGGGATCTGTGGGGGAAACCGGAGTACCCGGAGGAAACTCACACATGCAGGGGGAGAACATGCAACTCCACGCAGAATGGCCGCAGCTGTGTTTGAAACCTGCAACCTTCTTGCTGTGAGGCAACTGCGCTACCATGCAGCGCATGGTTAATTAGTTACAAACCTGTTTGTGGACTTAAAAGTCAGTGGGACTGGCAAGGAACGGCCAGATTTGGAGTCTTATTTTGTGATATTTGGACATCTCTTCTCTGATTAGCTAGTAGCAACATGACTCTACCCCTGACTCAGTTTGCTCTGCAACGTTGATCTTTTATCTCCATAAACAATGCAAGCCTGAAGAAATTCTGCTGAGTTGTGGAGCTGCTAATGCTAATGGTTAGCTTCTATTAGTCAAGACACTCTGCTATATCCTGGATGCTGAACCAATAACAGCCTTCCTTGTCGTGAGTCAAGATGGGTGAGTCCATGAATGTTAGGTGACAGTGTGACGTAGATGTGTCAGGATTGTTCTGTTTATTTTCTATCAGACGCTAACGCAGGAAATGTGGGTTGAAGACTTTTTTTCAAGTTTTGCCTGCATGTTAAACTAAATTTCCAAAGTAATAAGTAAAAAATTTTCTTAGTGAACCTGCTCTTCAAGTAGTTTTATTCCTGACATTTTCAGTACCCCCCAGAATGAGTGCTCTTTATGAAAACAAGCTGGAGCCCCCCCGTCTCTAAGCCTACTAAAAGTTCCAATATCTCCAGCAGCAGCTCTCTTGTGTGTAAAAAGTGGCTTTATGCTAATTTCCCCATTTGTGACATCACAAATGGGGGCTTTTTGAAATGGCTTGTTTTAGGCACAATTCTTAACAAACACACAAAAAAGTGAAATATGAGTTTTGCATAATATGTACCCTTTAACTCAAATAACGCATTGCAATGCATGCAAAGTAAATCACAGATTATTGCCACGTTGCCTGTTTGGAAAAGATTTAGTGACAATAAGTTGCTTGCATTGCTCAGATATTTGATACAAAAGGTTTAGTTGTGTGTGCATTCAGTGAGTGAGGCTCCACTTTCACCCCTATGCAAAAATACTCTTAATACACACACACACACACTAATATTTGTTTTTTCTCTTTTTCTCTAGGATCACATTTTGCCATCTTCCCTTTCAGAGTAAATGGCTCTATGTGGGAACAGAGCGTGGGAACACACACATTGTCAACATTGAGTCTTTTATTTTGTCTGGGTATGTCATCATGTGGAACAAGGCCATAGAACTGTGAGTATAGTGTAACAACTCTGCATCTGATGGAAAGTGTGATTGCTGTTTTTGCAAAGGCTTGTATGAGAAAGCGATGTCGTTGCAGACGAAACAATTAATAGAAATTGATATTGTTTACATATTTAACATAGATTTTTTGTGCCCAGAAGTCTAAATATTTTCCAGATTGACAATCTAAAGTTCAAAATCGTCACATAGCACACATATTCTCCTCAGTTGCACTGAATGCCCATTTCTCGGCTTCTTCCACCTACATGTCAATTTTCTGGTGTTACCCTGACAAGTTCCCTACTGTAGAGTCAGTCTTATGTCAGTGTTTTACCAAACCATTGTGTTGTTTCATGTCAGCCCAAACTCAGATGAACACTGTTGTGTACATGTGGGAGGCCTGTGTGCCAATCAGTGCAGAGGTCTGAAGCTGAAGTGACAAATTCACAGAAATGTTTCTGTTGAGCAACATGTGTGTTTACAACTTTTATTTGATCATTTTTCTAGAAATCATCAAGCTTCAGGATCCAGGTTATTTTACAGAAGCTGATTTTGAAAAGAACAATTAACAAATAGTGTCAACACAATTATCACCTTCAGATGTTTTGAGATTCAAGTGTGAGGCTTTTATTGTGAAAAGCAGAAATAGGTTTGAGTGTTACTGTGCAGTCAGCTATAGAAGTAGGCAAAAGCCACACGTCCTAAATATAAAATCCCATCATTTATAGCTTACTCTGTAAAATAATACACCCAGAACCCTTAGTTTCAACAATGTTTTGAGATGTACAAATTCTGTCTGGTTCAGCGGCAAAACAGATGTCAATTTATTTATTTTCTTTTATTTCATTTTGACATTGGGCTTGGCATTTCAGTATTTTTCAATATAGCACAGTTTCACCCTTAATCTAAACTCTTTTTCCATGTTTTGTTTTAATCTTTTTTCTTTAAACTGGCAAAGCAACCTAAGCAGGAAGAGCAAAAGTATTAAAAAGCATGCAGTAAAACTTTATGAATATATGGCAAAATGATAAATAGTTGGATTTTTGTCAGCCCCAAGTTTAGCCTGTAGCTAAAAAAACATTAGACCTGTGCACCAAACACACAAACCTCAAGGGGTTCCGTAAGGGGAGGCAGTGAAGTGGCCACGCCCCCTCCTGGCCACTCCTTGGGGGCACCACCCAGTATGAAATAAAAGCTTTACTGAACTTGAAAAAAGGAAATAAAGCAAACAAGCCAACGTGGACAGGAAAACCCTCCAGAATGAACAGAGGTCCTATGAACAATTATGAGATCAACACTGTTCAACACTTAGTTTGCATATTATTGCTCATAATAAGTAATACAAGTATACAATATGATATAACCAGATATAAAACAAAAATTGGAGTTGGCACAATAGCTGATGTGAGAATATATTCATACCTTTGCTGCTCTGAATAAAGCGAGAGAGTAGTAGACGATCTCATTGGTAAGCACCTACTGTATATCATTTTCAGCATGCACTAATAAATTCCTTATTTTGCATTTGTCAGCACTCTGTCCCTTCTCAGTAGTGGAGTCCATGAGGAGTTGAACCAAAGCAGAATGAATCTTCTCTTATAGACACGGGGAGGGGGGGGTCCGTTTGTCAGGCGACGTTTTCCTCAAAGCATGAATAAGGATGAGCAGGGAGGTTTTTAGTTTTTCCTACTGTGGATCATTTAGTGAGGGAGAAACCATCCACATTTCAAAATAAGTGAGAGTAGTGTGTTGTTTGCCTGATCCTCATTCACAGATGCAAAAACCAAGGTGTTCTCTCTACATTCAACAAGGGGCCGTGTTGCCAGAGTGGGACCGGGCTCTCGTTGAAATTCAAATGGCCTCGCCACACATTTAATGCTCAATTTAATCTTCAGGAAATTTCACTCCAGAATGAGAGATAAAAAATGAGATGCGAGGAGGAATGGGAAAACGCAGCAGCTCGGTGCACACTGCGTCGCAGTTCATAGATCCTAATAATGAATAGAGCCATGTTTACGCCTTGGATCGCGTAATCAGCCCTGGCAAGCCTAGCTTTCTGCTGGTTGGATTGTAAGATAAACAAAAGGCTTTCAGCAGATTGCTGATCAGATCATAATTTCTCATAAGAAAAATGTTTACATGCTATGAATGAGCAACATGTTTGAGGCTACAGAAGAAAATGCACTTTGTTTCCAGAACATGGATTTATGTAGACCATTGGAACTTTATGAAATCTTAATTAACAATGCATCTTGTCAAGTGTATTAGTCCGTGATTTCAGTGTTGTATTATCCTTCACAGATGGAACTTTAACGTTTTGATGACAGGCCTAACCCTTTCCTCATATTTAGTTATTAAGACATCTTTAAAAGAATGTAAGTCTATGAAGAAGAGAGTACCTATAAAGAAATGGCACTGGTGATTCCTCGTTACTTATTATTTTCACTTTCAGCCAACACAATAATTGAGGTCTCCAAGCTGAATCAGGATCACTTGAGTAATTTTAATGACTTTTCTTCACACTTGAGGCTTGTTTTTACCATTCACATACATAGCTTTATGCTAAGCTAAAGCAAAAAGTGTACTACCGGATCAGGAGAATGACTGGGCTGGTTACAAATTGTTTTTACCTACTTATCGTGAATTTTACTATTGGGGAATATAGTGACAGACAAAATTTTACTTTAGTTTGGAATACCCCTTAAGCAACACTTACAGGTGCATTATGTACAAATAAAGTATAAATGACCTCCTGTGGTAAGATTTGGTTACTGCAACCACTTTAAACAACTTTAAAGCTTTTTGTCGGTCGTCGTCAAATTCCAGTTGTTGGTGCTGCACTGAGCTCACAGGCGACACGGCAACCCCACACTGATGGTAAACAGTTACGTCCCTTCTTCCGTTGTTTTGAAAGGAGAAAAACTGACAATCCCCGCTGGATATGAAATATGTTTCAGTATAACCTTCCCTCCAAAATGACTGAAACATCAGACTCTTGGAATTTTCTTACTGTAAAATTCTCACTATATTCTTACATACTGCACCTTTAATATGTTTCCCACCTCTCCCTTGTACAACTTGAAAGCGGAATTACAACCATAAGAGAAGCAGCCTGCTTTAGCTAAAGCTAACAATGAGCTAACTGACACTAAATTAACCAAGTAGTAAAAAAAGTATAACTTATAAGTCCAGTAAGGAGTGTCACCAACAGACTGTGATTCCGTAGCCTCCCTCAGCTCCCTCAAATGAGTGAAGGCCACGCTGACGTTCTCAGACTCAAAATGCCAACAAAAGCAGAAATTCTTCTGCTTTTTGTAGACTGTCGGCAAACTCAAAAAGCTAACTGCTAGTCTTTATACGAGCTGGTGGCACAATACTAAGCTATTGCATAAAGCAGGTAGAGACCTCCCACTGTCATGTTGGGTATATATTTAACCCAGGACATGAAAGAATCACAAGAGGACACGGGGGTGAGTAAATAACAACTAATATTTATTAAGGAACGTGATGAAACTAAAAGCGCTGCTCCAAACGAGAACAGGGAAAGCCGCGATCTAGGATGAGAAAACAAACGGGATTAAACTCAAAGTAAACAAACCCTGGAACCAGAGAATCAAATAGGAATGGCTTTAGGAGATTTTATCTTACTGGGCAGATTAAAATCCTTAGAGAGACTGGGGCTGGATGGTGAAGTCAATCGGCGACAGAGACAAGGCTGAGGATCCAAACAGAGATACGTGAACGGGCATGTGGCAGACAGGAAGGCAGGTAATGCTGTAGATCCGGAGGGGAAGATTGGTAGGCAGGCAGGAAGGATGACAGGCGAGCGGCAGAGAGCGAGGAGACCAGGGGACGGTGAGCGACGTGTAGTGGAATTAACAACTCCAGACAGCGGTGAGTAATCCTGAGTGGAAGATGAGCAGAAGTTCAAAACACAAGACCAGGGCTGATGGGAACGGACTGACAAAAACACATGCTGAGTATTTGAGGCTTTAAACTCAAGACAGAACTAGTGTTACCCAAAGGCGAGTATCGACCCGCACTGGAGTTGTTTCACACCGCTCCTTAAGTACCCCTGGTCCTCTGATCAGGAGATCAGGAGCAGCTGGCTCTGACACGCCCACCTGAAACACAAACTGGGAACAACTGTTGTGCATTAGCAGAGCAGATTAGTGAGCGGGGCAGATTGTGACAGTACCCCCCCCCTCAAGGGGTGCCACCTGGCGGCCTAGCAGAGGAGGTGGAGGCGGAGGAGGAGGCAGAACGGGAAGCCTCGAAATCCCGGATGAGGGAGATGTCATCAATCCCGGACCCCGGGACCCACTGGCGGTGTTCCGGGCCATAACCCTCCCAGTCCACAAGGATCTGGCGACCACGACCCCGTGGCCGGACATCCAAAATGCGGTGAACCCAGTAGCCAAGGCCACCATCAGCAAGGCGGACAGGCGGAGGCGGGTCGGCAGGAGGACACAGGGGACTGGAGACAACAGGTTTGAGCAATGATACGTGGAACACAGGGTGTACCTTCATAGATGGAGGCAAGGTCAGGCGGACAGAGACAGGACTGAGGACAGAAGCGATAGGGAAAGGACAAAGGAATCGGGGGGAGAACTTCCTGGAGGAGTCCCGGAGCTTGATGTCACGGGATGAGAGCCACACCATATCACCAGGGGCGTAGACAGGCGCTGGACGCCGATGACGATCTGCCATTCTTTGATTGTGCTCCACCGTACGCTGAAGTGCCATACGAGTCTGGTTCCAGGTGCGTCTAGCCCTGCGGAGGAACTGCGGCACAGTGATGGGAGAAACAGAGTCAGAGGGAAACAGAGGGGGCTGGTATCCGAGGGAGACCTCAAACGGGGATTGACCAGTGGAGGAGGAAACGTGAGCGTTATGCGCGTACTCCATCCAGGGCAACTGTGAGCTCCAGCTGGAGGGGTTGGAAGAGCAGACGCACCTAAGCATAGCTTCAAGCTCCTGGTTTAGACGTTCGCACTGGCCGTTAGTTTGTGGGTGGAAACCTGACGTGAGCGAGACCCGGGCCCCTAAGTGTGTGGCAAATTCAGTCCAAACCCGGGCCACGAATTGGGGTCCCCTATCCGAGAGGATCTCGGAAGGAATGCCATGCAAACGAAAAACATGCTTGATTAGGAGGTTAGCGGTTTCTGCAGAGGAAGGTAGGGACTTTAACGGGACCAGATGACATGCTTTGGAGAATCTATCCACGACTGTGAGAATGCAGGTGAAACCCTTAGAGGGTGGTAAGCCAGTCACGAAATCTAGAGCTATGTGAGACCAGGGGCGCGGAGGCACCGGCAAGGGATGGAGAAGACCCTGGGGGGCTTGGTGGCTACTCTTAGATCTGGCACAGACTTGACAAGCGGTGATGTATTCCTTAACATCCTTATACATAGAAGGCCACCAAAAGGTCCTACGGATGAGCGCTAAAGTTCTGCCAAGGCCGGGGTGAATGGAGAATTTAGCGGTGTGAGCCCAGTGGATCAAGGAGCCGCGAGTACTGGAGGGAACATATGTCTTGTGTGGGGGACCGGTACCTGGGTCTGGTTCCAAGCGTTGTGCTTCCAGTACCTTATTGGTGATGTCCCAAGCTATGGCGCCAACAATGCAGGAGGCTGGCAGGATGGTGGTGGGTTGGGTGTCTTTATCAGAGGCATACTGTCAGGAAAGTGCATCGGGCTTGACGTTCTTGGAACCAGGTCTGAAAGAGATGATAAAGGTGAAACGGGAGAAAAACAATGACCAGCGGGACTGACGAGGATTAAGTCTTTTAGCCTCCTTCAAATATGCCAGATTCTTGTGGTCAGTCCATATTATTATAGGATGTTCAGCACCCTCCAGCCAATGACGCCACTCCTCTAAAGCCAGCTTGATGGCCAGGAGTTCTCTGTCTCCCACATCGTAGTTCTGTTCAGCCGATGAAAGACGACGGGAGAAAAAGGCGCAGGGATGGAGAAGGTGGTCTGTGGGAGAGACCTGGGAGAGAACAGCTCCTACTCCAGTATCTGATGCATCGACTTCAAGGGTGAATTGTAGAGAGGTGTCAGGACGTGTAGGAATGGGTGCCTGGGTGAAACTGGTCTTGAGGTTGTTGAAGGCTTGGTCGGCCTCCGGGGACCACAAAAACGGAACCTTGACTGAGGTGAGTTGGGTGAGTGGTGAGGCAATCTGACTGTAATTTTTGATGAAACGTCGGTAGAAATTTGCAAAACCCAAAAATCTTTGTAACTGCTTACGTGTCTCCGGGGTAGGCCATGTCCGAACTGCCTCGATCTTATCAGGATCTGTTTTAAGCCGACCACTCTCCAGGACAAAACCCAGGAACTTGACAGACGAGACGTGGAACTCACATTTTTCGGCTTTGACATACAGACGATTCTCAAGAAGGCGTTGGAGCACAGCTCGGACATGCTGGCGGTGTTCTGTGAGGGACCTGGAGAAAATCAGAATGTCATCCAAATAGACAGTGACGAATTTGTTTATGTAATCACCCAAAACTGAATTAACCAAAGACTGGAAGACAGCGGGGGCATTAGTGAGTCCAAACGGCATGACTAGGTACTCAAAGTGTCCAAGAGGGGTCTTGAAGGCTGTCTTCCATTCGTCCCCTTCCCTGATTCGTACAAGGTGGTATGTATTGCGTAGATCCAACTTAGTGAAGACAGAGGCATTATTAACAGGATCGAATGTGGAGGAGAGTAGAGGTAGAGGGTATTTGTTTTTTATGGTAATTTGATTCAGTCCTCGATAATCAATGCAGGGACGTAGGGATCCATCCTTCTTAGAAACAAAGAAGAATCCCGCACCCAGGGGGGACGTGGATGGTCTTATGATACCTGCAGACAGGGACTCAGAAATGTAATTAGCCATGGTTTCTTGTTCAGGTTTGGAAAGGTTGTAAAGTCGACTTGAGGGAAACACAGCGTCGGGAACAAGATCGATACAGCAATCATAGGGTCTATGGGGAGGCAGTGAGGATGCATGGTCCTTACTAAATACCTGCTGCAGGTCATGATACTCTGGGGGAACCTCCGTCAGATTGGGTGGTTCTTGTGGCGGGCTCCTGGCTTCTCTGACGGGAAAGGGTGCTGAGCGGAGGCAGTGTGATAGACAAAACGGACTCCAGGCAACGATAGATCCTGTCCTCTAATCTAGGTGGGGGTTGTGAGTGATGAGCCATTCGTGACCCAGGACAACAGGAGACTGAGGGGAAGGAAAAACGAAAAAACTCACAACTTCGTGATGATTACCAGAAACTAATAGATTTACCGGGGCAGTGCGATGGGTTATAGTGGTGAGAGCACTCCCGTCCAGTGAGGAGACCTTTATGGGTGATGGGAGGAGAACAGTGGGGATGTTTAGCTGCTGAATGACTGCCTGGTCCAAAATGTTTCTTTCACAGCCTGAGTCCAACAGAGCTTCTGTAGAAAAAGTCTTGTGGTTAAAAGTGACAGAACAAGGTAGGGAACATCGGGAGTTTGGGTTACTTGTATTACTGCCCACCAGTAGCCCCAGTTCTACTGGTGGGCGATGGCTTTTGGCCGAACCGGACAGGTTGAAATAAAGTGGCCTGACTGACCACAATATAGGCATAGACCTAAGGAGCGACGCCTCTGTTTCTCCTCAGGGGACAGTTGAGCGCGTCCGATCTGCATCGGCTCCTCTGATACTGTTGTGTGGGAGGTTTGTTGTGGAGTTTGGTGGACACGTTGGGTGGGAAATGTAACCGGCGGAGGTCGGAATAGACTAGTCCTGTGTCTCTCCTTAAGACGCTTCTCGATGTTTGTAGCCAGGGTGATAAGAGCTTCAAGGTTCTCTGGTTCCAGGCAGAAAGCTAATTGGTCCTTGATACGCTCAGATAGGGCCTGAGAGAAAGCGGCTTTAAGAGACGCCTCGTCTAATGTGGAGACTGAAGCGAGAGTTCGGAATTCAATGGCAAATTCAGACACGGATTTTTTACCCTGTTGTAGGTTCCAAATACGTTTGGCTAATTCTGCTGGGGACTCTGTGGAATCGAATAACTGCTTGAATTCAGTCAGGAAATCTGAAAGGGGACCGTGTAGAAAACCAGGCTGGTCGATTCTGTCATGTTGGGTATATATTTAACCCAGGACATGAAAGAATCACAAGAGGACACGGGGGTGAGTAAATAACAACTAATATTTATTAAGGAACGTGATGAAACTAAAAGCGCTGCTCCAAACGAGAACAGGGAAAGCCGCGATCTAGGATGAGAAAACAAACGGGATTAAACTCACAGTAAACAAACCCTGGAACCAGAGAATCAAATAGGAATGGCTTTAGGAGATTTTATCTTACTGGGCAGGTTAAAATCCTTAGAGAGACTGGGGCTGGATGGTGAAGTCAATCGGCGACAGAGACAAGGCTGAGGATCCAAACAGAGATACGTGAACGGGCATGTGGCAGACAGGAAGGCAGGTAATGCTGTAGATCCGGAGGGGAAGATTGGTAGGCAGGCAGGAAGGATGACAGGCGAGCGGCAGAGAGCGAGGAGACCAGGGGACGGTGAGCGACGTGTAGTGGAATTAACAACTCCAGACAGCGGTGAGTAATCCTGAGTGGAAGATGAGCAGAAGTTCAAAACACAAGACCAGGGCTGACGGGAACGGACTGACAAAAACACATGCTGAGTATTTGAGGCTTTAAACTCAAGACAGAACTAGTGTTACCCAAAGGCGAGTATCGACCAGCACTGGAGTTGTTTCACACCGCTCCTTAAGTACCCCTGGTCCTCTGATCAGGAGATCAGGAGCAGCTGGCTCTGACACGCCCACCTGAAACACAAACTGGGAACAACTGTTGTGCATTAGCAGAGCAGATTAGTGAGCGGGGCAGATTGTGACACCCACTAGTGTTCCCACCTAAACCACAACACCATTAATTCTGTTTCTCAGGATATCTGCAGGTGTAAGGGAGCCAAATTTAAGACTTTTTAAGACCTTTTTTAAGGCCACTTTGACCATATTTAAGCTATTTTTTTAATTAAATGTAAGCTATAATTTCCAGCTATTGCATGGAACCGGTGCTAACCACGTCGCGAATGTGGGATTAGCCATCCAGTTACCATTAAACTTGCACTTCCCCATGGCACAATCTCCCACTAGCTAAACTAGCTAATGTGCTCATCTAGAAATAGTCCCCTTTCACAACCAACTGAATGTGTACGGTTCCGCTTACGCCAATATCATACACAAAAAATGCTGAACACTAATTAGAAATTCACGAAAATTTTATAGAAATCAAAGAATCTTATTTATTGGGTCTTTGGTAATTTAAGACCTTTGGAAACTGTATTTAAGGATTATTTGTCATTTTTAAGGATTTTTAGGGCCTTAAATTTGGAAAAGCAAATTTAAGACTTCTTAAGGACGCGCGGATACCCTGGTTTCTGCTCATCAGAATACGGTCCAATCCGACGCTGCTCAAGTGTATAGCTGAAGATTCACCTAAACCATTTTTAAGCAGTAGCTTGTGTTAAAAACTCATTTTTATGTTTTAAAGCGCGTTGCTTGTGTTACATGAAGAAAAGAAGACCAATGTTCAGATGCCAGCTGGATTGTTAGAACTGAAAACCTGCAGTTTAGAAATCTTTATACCTGCAGAATATGCAGCATTCGTTCTCATTTCTCTCATGATTGCCTGTCCAAATTTCAGTTGCCATTATTGCATTCTGTGCTAGTGATTCGAGCAGCCAGTTGCTCTCTTATTTGAGTGAAATAAAACCCTATACTTTTTTTTTAAATCATCTTTTCATTTTGAACATGACGTATTGTTTCACAGGGTTACAGTTGATGTCTTTGTCAGCTCTCTCATCTTTCCATCTCATCACAGATCAACCAAAACTCACCCAGGACCTGTAGTTCATTTGAGTGACAGCCCGAAGGATGAAGGCAAGGTGAGTAGGCAGATAAAAGAAGCGCTCCTTTAGGATCACAACAGAGGGCTCTTTGTTTCTCCCACAGCTGTGCTCTGGGTTAAACCTCTTTTAACACCAAACTGTCTGAGGATTTGGTTCGCTGCTCACATCTTATTTGTTCCTGCCTTTCCCTTTAAACCATGCACACAGGTGCATGTTGCATATTCATTTTTAGTTGTTTGCAGTTCTACGGATGATGAGCTGTGAGCACTCAAAAATAAATAACTAAATAAATGACAGCTGCATTTAGGGTCCAAACTGCAACGCCGTTTTAAAAACGTATACATGCGTACCGGTATGTTGTTTCACTTGATGTGCCAGATGGTTTGGTGCTCGGAACCATCTGGAAGCGCTTCACTGGCTACTGTTTGGAAAAGAGCCGGCACTTCCACGAGAACACTTGGCAGGTGATTGGATTAAGAGAGAAAACATCTTTTCTACCAAGAAAAGCCTTCGCTGCTGTTCCTTCCAACTCTTCTGATGAAGACAAACGGTTCAGATTTAAGTGATGCTGTAGGAATGTTTACGATCAGAACCACATCAGCGTCACTAACTAAACCCTCCTGACACCGCAGAATCACTGGAGCACCAGGTGTCTTAGATTTAATCCTTAAGCTGGAAATATTTGTCTTTATTGTAAACCGTCAAGGTTGATTTACGATTTTTCTAAGATGTCACATGGTGTCTTCACTCAGCAGGAGAGCCATTTCCTTCTATTGTCCTTCTGATCTCTGTTCTCATCTGTGACCAAACTGCATCGAGTTTCCTTCAGTTGCTTATTTTTGAATTGTGAAGCTTTCTTAGTGAAGTCGAGTTGCAGCAGTTTATATGGTTTTGCTGGTTGTTTATCTTTGTGTTTATAGTGAATGCTTAGTTGCAGAAAACAGATGAAAACAGTTGAAATTGTGTCAAGAATTTGAAAAATCCCGCAAAATAGTTATATTGATCAACTTAAAAAACCCTAAAAGCATATTTTAATGCTGTAAAAGCTCCGAGTTTTCATATCAAAGTAAGCTAATGTTACACGAACTGAGAATCCTGCTTTGTTTGTATTTTTCTTTCATTGTTGTCTTTTCTCTGCAGCTGCTTATAGGATTTGAAGCTGGGACCATTGTTCAGTGGGACCTTCGTGCCAAAAAGGCGGACTTCAGAATCTACTATGATGAGGTCAGGTCCACTTTAAAGGTTGTTTCTAGAGAGTCTGTGGGAGTTAACTGTTCCTGAATATTAGTTTACTATAGTATCTAAATGTATCCGTCACAATAAAAGCCCAATGAGCTCAACCTACAACAGAGAAAAAATTAAAATGATTCTTGTGTGATTTAGCACGTTTGTCTGTTAGTTTTAAGTCGTATAATGAGCTATTTTTCTGCTATGTTTCAAAATGTCAAAGAAAAACACAATTAGGTCTGACGAGCATCGTTTTTTTTCTTTATTTGAACAAGGCAGTTAACCCCCCAATTATGCAATTTTGTTTTTCAAAGAGCAGTAATTGGATGACCCAGAAATGCTTTTACCGAAGTCGTCTTCCTTTGACAGCTCGCGCTGCTCCAGCAGCTGGATTAGGTGAAGACAACAGCATCTGCTGCTGTTTCGTCCACAGAGTAGACGAGCACAAACCAGCGTCTCGGTGTCCAACTGCCTTGCATTGTTTGTCCTATTAGAGTCGCTCTTTACATTCTGGTAAAAATGCATTTTTTAAATTAAATAGACATTCATCTATAAAATATTTCAGTGTAATTTAAAGCTGCAACCTATGTAAACCTATTTCTGCCACTCTTAATAAAACAACGCCATTTTTGACTAGCTAAAATTCTACAGCGTCATGGACGTCACACACTGTTTCTCAAACAACAAAGACAGCGGCGGAATTTGCTGCAGCTCTTTCCTCTGTTCTAAATGACTCAAATGTCTTTAAAACAACAAGCAAAAGCACTAAAAGCCTTTCTTCTAAAAGAATAAAATATGTTTGCACCGTTTCCAGACACCAGTTTTTACTACAGCTAAAAAAAACTACAGCGTCGCGCGGTACTGTCGGCGTTTCCATCTTTTTTCTGATTGGCTATTTTTGAGCTGCCTAGTCCCGCCCCTCAAGTGCCTCTCTGCCTGTGAGTTACCAGACTCTTTCTCTGTGCAGAATAAAACGGAGGACGAGTCTGGCAGCCCAGGCTAGGGAAAGAGCTTCTACTGTATAGTCTCAACCAGGATGGATTATTTTTTATTATTAATTGATGACTGACGGCTCATTCCTTCTTTTTATTTTTTATTTTACTTTATATATATATATATATATATATATATATATATATATATATATATATATATATATATATATATATATATATGTGTGTGTGTATATATGTATATGTATATATATATATATATGTATATATGTATATATATATATATATATATGTGTGTGTGTATATATGTATATGTATATATATATATATATATATATATATATATATATATGTATATATGTATATATATATATATATATATATATATATATATATATATATATATATATATATATATATATATATATATATATATATATATATATATATATATATATATAAACTGGCATGTTTTTGCTTTTGCTGCCAGCTTTGATCTCCTGCGATAAAATAATGTAGGTTTCTGTTCTTTGTCATCGCTGTAGAATAAATCTCTGTCTCACACCTCCTCAGCTGCAAACCAGAACAACTCCCAATAACCTGAGGGTTGACTGCTGTTTATAGTGCGACTTAGACGCAGGTCTAAATCTGATTTCTAAAGAAACAAAAAAAATGGCTGCTTTGTGAAGTTTTTTAGTTGATATTCTTGGTACTCTGTGACTTTTTTACCATTGGATGATTTATTTTATTACACAAGCCATGTACTTTAAACAATCTGTTATATACTGTAAGAGAGGGGTTTATTTTACCTTTTTTTATATATACGATCAGTCACTGAGTTTCAAATAAAGGCTAAAAATGAAAATGGTCTGCTACCCCTGTTTCCAGCATTAGCCACTGATAGAAAATAAACAAGGACGTGCTCAGGTCAGAAAAGGCCAAACAGATCTTCGTCATAAAGAACATTTTGCCTTCATGGACTCAGACATCTTGGCTCATGACGGGGAAGTCTGTTGTCAGTTTAGTGTCCAGGAAACACCAGAGAATGTCTCTGGTAGTAGAAGCTAACCATTGGTATTAGCAACTCCACCACACAGCAGAACTCCTTCAGGCTTGTGTTATTTGTGGAGATAAAGCATCAGCGTTGCAGAGCAAACAAAGGCAGTGGTAGGGTTAAGCTGCTGTTATCCAGTCAGAGGCCAGATTTCCAAATATCAGGAATATTAATGAGTAAGTGTGTTGTTTGTCAATGTCCTCGTAAGCAATGCGCCTAGCCTAACAAGATGGCACCTTGCTAGGCGCCTTGCTTACGAGGACTGTCCTTACTCGGTTAAAGAAAACTGTTAAATGGAACTGACTTACCTCAAATAAAGTTATATTTTATACATATAAGTTGTTATATAAATGTGTAACAAGCATTTACATTTTTAATTGTGCATATATTGGTTAAATTAAATATGTAAGCGAGTTAGTTACTGCTAGCCACTGAAGCTGCAACTAGCCAACCAAAGATAACTGCTTTGGATCTAAATACATTTCAGATATCAGCCCATTTAAACTGGAACTTTGCCCCCGAAGTAGCTGCTGGCTCCTGACCTGCCACCCTTTTGAAAACACTACACTGTATTCTGGGAAATGTTTGACCAAGGCCAGGCTACAAGACACCTCCAACGTATCCTTGGTCAGCTAGCTAAATGGCTAACAAATGGAGAACAGACACCTTGATGGCACATAAATGATGGAACGCCTTGGCAGTTCCTGATGACGTATCTGCTAGGCAACTGAAGCGGGATCAAGGCGAGGTTCCTTGACATTCAGAAACACCCAAAGACTCCCAATCTTGTTTTCTACCCCTCACTCCTCTGACTAACATCTGTTTCCTGAACTATTTCCCAAGTCTAAAACACTAACAACAAATGTTCAAAAACTCTAATAAGTTAATATAAGCTAATAAAGGATATAAAACAGATTGTATACAGTAAAGCATGTTTAATAGGATCTGTGCATTGACGTTGTTTAAGAAAGTATCTGCTTCCTTTGTTTTGTTGGTACAGGCCATCCATTCGGTCAGCTGGCATCATGAAGGCAAGCAATTCATGTGTAGTCACTCAGACGGCAGCTTGACGCTGTGGAACCCCAGAAACACCACCAAGCCATTCCAGGTCACCTTCCCTCACGGTGAGATACGCAGCCAAACCACAAAAGCAAAATGAAGAAGATTTGCTGAATATTTGTGTCTAATGTAAGAGCTGTCATTGTGTAGATACAAGCTGCATCACATATAAGCCAGAGAAAGCCAAAACTTTCTGATGTTGTGAAAATCAAAAACTTTGGAAAAACAGATAACATTAATAAAGCAATTTGTTTGTATGTATACATATATAAGGTGTCTGGAACCTAAACAAAAGCACAGGGACATGCTGTTTTGAAGCTAGACATTTTCAAAGATGCTCTTGACGGTATTTTTAAACCTAATTATCATCATGACCAAATATATGTTGGTATAACAAAGAGCCAGGAATCTAACAAATGATCTGTGTCCTGAATCCAGCCAAAATAACATTTTCCTCTTGAACCATTAGAGTGGATGTCCGTGCATATAGAAAACTAACTAAATGTTATCCATGCACGCAACTGTACTAGAATCGATGAGCTTTGACCTATGACCTGGTCCAGATGGAGAACAAGCTGACTCAGGCTCAGATACGCATCAACTAACTCTGTAGCACCCAGAACATCAGCTGACTGCGTGTCTTAACACAAGACAGGGCTTCTGCAGACTATGGTGGAAAGTGATCTGGGGTAGTTAGTCTTCAAGGCAGACTGAACACCTGTGTAGTTCTTCCACAGGTAGCAACATATCTGCAGACCCAGCATCTTGTCCTTGGGGGGGGGGGGACAGTGGCGGCTCCGGGGGTGCTAGGGGGTGCTATAGCTACCCCTGGATTAGTCATTGCACTCCCATAGCAACCCCAAGTAAATATTGGATTTTTTTTTTACACTTTAATTTTAATTTAGCGTGTGGATGTGTTAATATTTAACATACAAAACAAAAATGATCAGTAAATTATCATATAGATAGTAAAAACTAAAACCAAAACAGGAAATTGATGTTAACCTTTGACCTCATTTTCCACCTGCGAAGGAGTGAAAGGTAGAGCTCGTGGTAAAATGGGTCGGTTTTTGTTGCCCACATTTCCACGGGTTCAGTCAGAAACGAATGAATGTTTGGAAGTGATCTCAGACCCACAAAAACCTACGGATCTGGATGAAGAGAGTCAACTCTCAACCGCCGCAGCAGTCCAGGGTTTTGCCGCTGGAAATGCTAACACTAACGTTAGCTAACCTTGCAGCACTATAGATGGTTTTCTGTGTGGCTCTATGTGTTTATGATTTCATGGAAAAGTCGGTGATTGTTCATATGTTTATGATGTATATTAATGATTGTTTCAGGTGTTGTTGAGGTGTTGTGCACGCATGTGTATCTGCTAGTGTTGAAGGTATTTTAGAGAACAATAGGTACGCATGACCACTTCCTTCTTAGCACCCTCAATAAAAAGTCTAGCTCCTTCATAGCACCTGCAGAAAAATATTTCTGGAGCCGCCACTGGGGGAGAACTCTAGAGGGGGCCGTGTAGACACAGAGTTTACAACTTCTATGGTGGTGGAGTGTGTCCCATGCTGTGGCATGGCGCCATCTAACCTAATGGGGTATGGCGTCCTCTGGTTCTGTTTCTGGCATTGCTCACCAAGATGGCGACACATCCCAGCCTCCTTGCTCAGGTTTTGATGACCTTAGTAGGGGATGGAATGAGGGTTGTGGCTGGGACTGTAGAAGAAGGTGGCAGGGCCCAGATGAGCACTGGTCGTGTGTAAGAGGCACGGAAGAAAAGCTGCAATGAACACCAGCAGGGTTCTCGGTGGGTAGGACTGCATTAGGGTAGGAGCTTGTTGTCGAGAGCTTTGCTTTTTATTTTACAGCGAACCTCCTGAGGGTTGGCTTTGGGATCAGCTCAAGCTGAGGTCTAGCAGACTGTGGGTTCACTGACAGTGAACTGGCAAACAGAGAGCTGGCAGACTGGAGGGCTGGAACACCAATCTGGATGCCTTCAGGGTGCATACTAGCCTTAGTAAAAACAAAAATGTAGAAAATTATTCTCAGTGCTGAAGACGAGGGGAAGGAAGTCAGCCATTGCTGGTTTGATAATATTCATGGAACCTAGTGAGTCATTAAAACCCAAAAAGACACAGCATCATATCAGATTTCATCTCTGACGGGAACTGATAATGAGCTTTAAAAAAAATAGAAAAAGTTCCTGTGTTGTTGCATGGGATCATAACCGCTTATAAAGCTGATTCGATCTTTCTGGAAACATTGTTCAAGTGAAATTTTATCCTCAAATAAAACAAACCAATGCAATTATATTTTTCTCACTGAAAACTAATTTTAACACCCCAAAAAAGTAAATTTTCATTGGTCAGTAGGGTTTTTACGTTTTTTTTTTTTTTTTTTTTTTTTTTGTTGCAAATTGGTGTTTTTTTATTGTTAATATTGACAATAATTTCCCTCTGGGATTAATAAAGTATTTTTGAGTTGAATTTGATTGACATTGTAAAAGTGGAACGAGTCAGTGTCTCAGTGTAGAGATTTTGCTTTCTAGATTTGTTTACAAAACGGTTGGCTTTGGTTCAAAGTTCTGTGTCCAAGAAATAAACCTCAAAGCCCCACTGCCTTTGAGCAGAGACGATTCCTGTTTGAATTAACTGCAAAAATCCTCTTATGAAAAGCAGAAGAAAAATAACTCCATCTGGTGTAATGGCTGTAATAATGTCCTGCTATTTCATCAAAAGAGATGAAAATACTGCAAAGCGAGAAAAGAAAGCAGAAAGTGGGAAATGGGAGTAAAACACCTACAGTTCCTCCATGTTCAGATGTTCTGATCTGATGATCCTTTTCTGGACGAGGCGTGGTATTCATGTATGCTCACAGCTGCAAAGGATGTGCTTCTGTCTGTGAAACTAAAAGAGAAATATTTAAAAATCACAATAATACATGTTTATGAAGACTAAGAGAGTAATACTGACGTTTAAATAAAGCCCTTCCTGTGGAAATTTCAATATCAGCTAACGACTCAGTGTGCTTCACAACCATGGATCAATTGACAATTCTCACTTTAATGGGAGAACATTCCAGTAAATTAGAATCAATTTTTTTTTTTACTTTTTCTCATTCAGGAAAGATCCAGAAAGATGGAAGGAAGGAGTCATGTAAACCGATTCTCAAAGTGGAGTACAAGACCTCAAGAAGCAGGTGGGCCTTTGTGCAGTTTCTAAATGTCTGATTTAAGTTTCCTGATTGCACATTTTTGTGAGACAGATCTCTGTTCAAGTGATGTGTAAGTGATTTATGCAGTTACTAATGTGTGTGGGTGTGAATGGGTGGATGACGGATTGTGTTGCGCAGTGCCTTGGGGGGGCTATAGAACCATAAGAATACAGGCCATTTGATCCGTTGTAAATACTGACATTTGAGGACATTTTTATTCAGTTGGCACCCTTTTAATTTTTATTTTCAAAGCATATCAGATCATAAGAAACGCCTACGTGATGCTGGTGTTCAAATGATCCGTTCATGAATTCATGGGGCAGTTGATTTGTCTTTTCAGTTTGACGACTGATGCAAATCCGCACTAAATATAAGTTCTCACTTCCCAACAGCGAGCCTTTTATTATCTTCTCTGGTGGCCTTTCATACGACAAGGCAGGACGACGGCCAGCTTTGACCATCATGCATGGCAAAGCCATCACCGTGCTGGAGATGGGCTATCCTATCGTAGAGTTCATGGTACTCTGTGAGACTCCATACAATAACGGTGAGCGCACACGACTTGCAAAACACGTGCATTTCTATTTTTATGTAGGTTCAATTTCACAATCATCTGGATGGGTTTAGCATTTGCTTGTGGTTAATTTAGCTGAGTTCATTAACCATAAAATTGAGAGTGGCTTGAAGATTGCTGGGTACCATTATTATTAATCATATTCATCTGTTTGACCAGTTTTGTTACTTCCTCCCTCCCAACTCCTAGACTCGACCTGAGGGTTGGCATGTAACATTCTAGTGAAATCCAAGTTGAAACCAATACAAAACAGTAAAAATAATAAAAGCCGTCAGACCGCCGAGCAATGAGAGGAAACTTTAAAAATATAAATAAAACAAGCAAAGTGATCTAAATAAATCTTCAGTCTAGCTTTAAATATTAGAATGGACAAGGACATGGAGGGTGGTCCCACATAGCTGAGATTCTTGTGTTGGGACAGAGGAAACACTAAGGGGCCACTCCGAACCGAGTGAAGAGTTCTTAGAGGAACATAACGGGTCGCAAGTGAAGCTTTATGGCACTGATGCTGACAAAATTTTGGGCCATTCCCATCTGTACCGGGTCGGCCCGGGCCGGGTAGCCCCAGTCGGCCCCAGCCTGGCCCGGTTGATTCCACACATCCTTGCCTTAAGCCCATGTGGGCTGCTTCTGCCCACCAATCAGAGGCTTGCTCTAAAGGAAGGTGTGAATTTGCTGTCAGCAGTGGGTGTGTTGGCCCTGGTCGGCCTGAAGCAGACCCCCTCCAGAAGAGGGCTGAGAATGAGCCTTGGTTGGCCCGGAAAAATACCAGACCACCCAGATATGTAAACAACCTATGCTACCCGGCCCGGGCCGACCCGGTACAGATGGGAATGGCCAAAAAGAGACCAGAGTTTGGACCAGAACTTGGCATTTCACCAGCAACAAGTCCAAGGCAGCCAGAGTGGAGGAACGTGCTCCCATTTTCAGGCTCCACAGGCAGCAGCATGTAGCATTTTGATGGCTACATTTGTTTATTTAACATCCCATAATGCCAATTATGCAATTGTACCGATTGGTTTGAATTTATGCCCTATAGAGGTCCAAGAGCCCTACACTGTGGTGGTTCTGCTGGAAAAGGACTTGATCGTAGTGGATCTGACACAGAGCAGGTAAACCTTTAGTGCTTTCTTTTATGGTCTTTAGTTTGTTTTTAACAATTTTTATTATTTGTTTTTAGTGATGTTTCATTCTTTTGGTTTCTGCCTGTTAACCACATTTGAATTTTGGTGTCTTTATGAAGCATTTAGTGATTTTATTTGTGATTATTATTATTGTGTGCTATAGAAATACATTTAACTTACTTTTTAACTTAGTTTGTGTTAAATTAAACAAGTGAGTAAATATAAGAAATCAACTGACATGAATCTGAACTGAATGAAGATAAATCGGTGAGTGTATTTTTAACACCAAGATGAATTAATGAAACAAAGACATGAAACATTGCATTAAGGTTGAGACAGTTCTCACCTTAGTTATGTGTCACTGGTGAATGATATAACTGCTGATGGGAGTTTTTCAGCAGATTAGCATCTAAGCCTGGGGAACACATTTAAATAGTAACACAACACTTTGGTACAAATGAGCTTGCCTATTAGATTAGGCTTCATAATTACAGCAGTTAGATATAAACGTCTCCGGATAGCTGTGGTCATAACACACCCGGATCGTATTAAACATCCTTTACTCATTCATCAGCGGTCACTTATTCAGCTTACACATCTCAAAAGTTACATAAAATACCAAAGTTTTACTCTGAATCATTATTTTGCTGCACATTTCTCCAGTATTTAGTCATAGAAACATGCACATTTGTAAGTTTACATTTTTAATTCAATATATGTTGGAAAATATGCAACTTGTGCAATAAACAATAAGCTAAAGACATTTGGCTTATGTGATGTCAAAACAGTCATTAATTTATATAAAAATTTATAAAAATGAAAAATATTTTTGAATTTATATTTTAGATCAAATCAAATCAAAGAAACTTTATTAATCCCAGAGGGAAATGAGTTTCAGTGCACACAATTTGGAGATCAGACATACATGGGCAAGACACATGACAAGAATTGGTGACTGTGGTCATTTGCAACCCTGAGTCGTGCTACCTTAATAGAGATAAGAGGGTTACATGAGGATTGGTTCAGGTGGAGGGAAAAAAGGCACTTCAGAGTTACCCTCCCACCAGGAGGGCAGCTTTGCTCTGCAAAAAACACCTCAAACATATATGCAGCAGACTTCAGACAACACAACATAAGTGTCCACTAGGTGGGGTGGTGGGTTGGGACTATCCCCACTTCAGTTCCTGCAGCCACGATAAGCAGCGCATGTCACCTCAGTGTGGATAGGGGGAGGAGCATTGAGGGTTGGAGGGTTGCAGTGAACTGGAACGTTTCAGCGGCCTTCCCGCAGTCCCGCCCAGGCTGGGAAAGGATACAGAGTTGAGTTGCCATAGCGACGGCACATTCCACATATCTTCTGAGGGGAGAGTTTTCGTTGGAGCCTTGCAGGCTCAAGGACGCCAGATTCCGATTAGAAATTGTTTTGGGGCCAGACAGAGATAATTTCCTCTCTGTCATTCAGTTTGTTGGTCCTCAAACTCTCAAAATCCCAATAATGGACATTAATCTATCCCAATCCGTGCTGATTCGTCCACTCTCTCCTTGATGGCACCCATCTTCTGTGCTAAAGAATAAATCTCGGCCAAAGTCCCAAGCTTACGATTCATCTCAACAACTATTTGAGTCTGTGAATTCACAGAGCGGTGCAAACCATCTCTGAGCTCCGGGATCAGGCCAATATTCCTCAACAGCTCGTTAATTTTCCGGTAAGCCAGGTAGCCTCCAAGGCCAATGAGCAGGAAACCTGACACCAACACCACGAATATCCACACGTCTTCAGAGTCCTCCACAGACAGCTGAGATAAACAAATCAATTTCCACTGTTTCCAGGAGTCCGTGATGTGTCCAACTGGGTCTGTCCCGGCGGGGCATCCGGGAGCCCCTTCTCCCGTTCTCATCATTGAAAAATTTTTATCAATCGCGTTGAGAGACCAACTGACGAGATCCATTTAAGTGAATTTCAGTTTCCAGTAAAAATGCAGAAGCAGCCGTGCACCCAGCACCCAGAGACAGACAAAGAGGCCTTGTGGATAAGATATGGAGGAGAGGAGGAAAAAAAGCGTCTGCACCCTCCAAGAGCCGGAAGAAGATGTGATGATTAATAGAAAAAGTGTTGCTGTAATTGCTAAAACCAAAGCAAATGACACTCTTTTGTCTTACAGTTTCCCTGTGTTTGAGAACCCGTACCCCATGGACATCCATGAGTCTCCAGTTACCTGCACAGCCTATTTTGCTGATTGCCCACCCGACATCATCCCAATCCTTTACTCTATAGGAGCTAAACACAAAAAGACCGGCTACAGTCATAAGGTACACAAGTGACAAGACCACCTTTTCTCTCATAATAGGCTTAGGGGCTAAGGGTTTGTTGAAAGCACGGCCTCTTCTGATAGTTTGAAGCTCACAGACTGACAATAATATAGTCAAAATAGAGTTCAAGCCATGGTTGGTGCGCTAAACTGACCCCACAGTACATGCTATAGGGAGCCTAATCTCCTCCCTTTCTGGTCGGCCCGTGGGTCCCCGGAAGAATGAAGAAATGAATGCAAGTCAACGGGGCTTAAAGAATTATTTTCTTATTAAATCCACTATCTTTGCAGTGAGTATACAGAAATAGGAATAAAACTACAGCCTAGAGGCTCTTTATGCAATGTCAGGAAGGCAGATTTGTTAAGTACACGGGGGCAGGGACGGCCAATTACACGTCAGCAAGTATCAGCAGAGCCAATAGATGAGCTTATGAATGCTTCTAATGGGAAACAGGCTTCAACGCAAGCAGCTGTTTGCCGCTTGGGCCTTATTGCGCAACCAGTGTGTATTTAATATAAAGTAATGTTGTTTTTAGATGATAAAAAGTGCAGGGGACAAAAATAGACTGTGGAAAAACCACGTGCATGTTTCTGTTATATTTTAAATAATTACTTAATAAAATACAACAGGTTTTGTAAATACTTGTTTTATTAGTAGTCAGAGTCCAGTCTTTAAAAACTAGATTTTATCATTATTATTTTTGACTTTGAAGAAGTCATTCCAAAACCAACATTAAAGAAAAAATACAGTAAAAGAATAAATACTGTTTAAAAAATTTAATGAATTTACTGTAACTTTTAAATGCTTCAATTGTATGCCGTTGTTGGAATATTCCACAAAAATAAGTCAACTTCATGAGCAGACTGATCTGAGTTTTCTTTCTTATAAGGAGTGGCCAGTTGGAGGTGGGACATGGACGTTGGGCTCTCATACCTATCCAGAAATCATCATCACAGGGTGAGGAAAACAAGATTTAAGGGACCGAAGACTAGAAACTCATACAAATATCACAAAACCGCCATTAGAGTAACTTAACCTTCAAACATGTCAGCAAAGATTCCGGGACTTATTGCAGTCCTTTTGCAAGTGTGATTTAACGTTATTTAGATAGTTTCATTGTAAAAATAAAAAATAAAAACTCCATTACTTATTTAAAAGATGCTGATTTTAAAAAAAGTATACATTACAGTTCTTCATTAGAAATAAATTCACAAATTTTTCTCATTTCATTCAGGCATGCTGATGGGTCAATAAAATTTTGGGATGCGTCTGCATGTAAGTCCTCACCATAACTTTTGTTACCTTATTACGTTCTAGCAGAGATTCTGAAACGATGCATTTGTCTGAGATTTCTGTTGCACAGTCCAATAAAAGATACGAGTTCCACAAGGAACAACTTCCAGTTTGCCACCGACTTGTTGGAAGCACCGCATAGAGATTCATTAATAGCACACACGTGATATACAGGGAGTGCAGAATTATTAGGCAAATGAGTATTTTGTCCACATCATCCTCTTCATGCATGTTGTCTTACTCCAAGCTGTATAGGCTCGAAAGCCTACTACCAATTCAGCATATTGGGTGATGTGCATCTCTGTAATGAGAAGGGGTGTGGTCTAATGACATCAACACCCTATATCAGGTGTGCATAATTATTAGGCAACTTCCTTTCCTTTGGCAAAATGGGTCAAAAGAAGGACTTGACAGGCTCAGAAAAGTCAACAATAGTGAGATATCTTGCAGAGGGATGCAGCAGTCTTAAAATGGCAAAGCTTCTGAAGCGTGATCATCGAACAATCAAGCGTTTCATTCAAAATAGTCAACAGGGTTGCAAGAAGCGTGTGGACAAACCAAGGCGCAAAATAACTGCCCATGAACTGAGAAAAGTCAAGCGTGCAGCTGCCAAGATGCCACTTGCCACCAGTTTGGCCATATTTCAGAGCTGCAACATCACTGGAGTGCCCAAAAGCACAAGGTGTGCAATACTCAGAGACATGGCCAAGGTAAGAAAGGCTGAAAGACGACCACCACTGAACAAGACACACAAGCTGAAACGTCAAGACTGGGCCAAGAAATAACTCAAGACTGATTTTTCTAAGGTTTTCTGGACTGATGAAATGAGAGTGAGTCTCGATGGGCCAGATGGATGGGCCCGTGGCTGGATTGGTAAAGGGCAGAGAGCTCCAGTCCGACTCAGACGCCAGCAAGGTGGAGGTGGAGTACTGGTTTGGGCTGGTATCATCAAAGATGAGCTTGTGGGGCCTTTTCAGGTTGAGGATGGAGTCAAGCTCAACTCCCAGTCCTACTGCCAGTTTCTGGAAGACACCTTCTTCAAGCAGTGGTACAGGAAGAAGTCTGCATCCTTCAAGAAAAACATGATTTTCATGCAGGACAATGCTCCATCACACGTGTCCAAGTACTCCACAGCGTGGCTGGCAAGAAAGGGTATAAAAGAAGAAAAACTGATGACATGGCCTCCTTGTTCACCCGATCTGAACCCCATTGAGAACCTGTGGTCCATCATCAAATGTGAGATTTACAAGGAGAAAAAACGGTACACCTCTCTGAACAGTGTCTGGGAGGCTGTGGTTGCTGCTGCATGCAATGTTGATGGTGAACAGATCAAAACACTGACAGAATCCATGGATGGCAGGCTTTTGAGTGTCCTTGCAAAGAAAGGTGGCTATATTGGTCGCTGATTTGTTTTTTTATTGTTTTTGAATGTCAGAAATGTATATTTGGGAATGTGGAGATGTTATATTGGTTTCACTGGTAAAAATAAATAATTGAAATGGGTATATATTTGTTTTTTGTTAAGTTGCCTAATAATTATGCACAGTAATAGTCACCTGCACACACAGATACCCCCCTAAAATAGCTAAAACTAAAACCAAACTAAAAACTACTTCCAAAAACATTCAGCTTTGATATTAATGAGTTTTTGGGGTTCATTGAGAACATGGTTGTTGTTCAATAATAAAATTATTCCTCAAAAATACAACTTGCCTAATAATTCTGCACTCCCTGTGTGCTACACAACCAATTAGGGGCATCCCTAAATTCATGTCAGTGGTTCATTTGAATCCATAAAGCATATAAGCATTTCAAAATTGTTATAATTTCTAGTATAAAGGTGTTCTTTTGTTCTATCTGTATATGCATACGCTTTTCAGTGAAACATTTTCTCTGAACATGTCCAAAAAGTCACACTGCAGATGTTGTACAAGCTGAAAACCTCTAAAGTGTTTGAGAAGCCAAAGGCAGGCGAGGGCCGATCTGCCGAGATGGTGGAAGAAGACCCCTTTGCCGTTCAGATGGTCAGCTGGTGCCCTCAGAGTCGCATCTTCTGTGTGGTCGGCATCTCCGCTCATATCATTCTGTATCGCTTCAGCAAATACGATGCCAACACTCAGATAGTGGTAAGATAACTGGATAAAGATGAGTGCAGAAAGTCTTCATTCAACTGTAATCCTTCTGTAAAACATGAAGTGACTGTTTGCCACAGTTGCATCTGTGAGTTCAGTTATATTTCTCTACCTTTGTCGTCCCCAGTCACTAGAAGTGCGCTTGCAATGTGAGTCCGAGGATGTCATCACTCCATCTGAGAATGAAAATTATCCCTGCTTCTCAGAGCAAGGTTCACACTCACCCCAACCACACCACCAACATCCAGTGAGTCCAGGTAGCAGAACGCCAGAGGGGGCCAAAGACCGTGGACCCTGCCTCAAGTAAGACTTCTGCACGCACGTAACGGACAGCCCGAAGCAGAAAGCCTGCAGCACATGGCAACGGATATTATATTTTTTATGTTTCTTTCTTGGAGCTTGGACTGGATGAGAATAATTATTTAAAAAGTACTTTACTCAAACAGGGAGTTTTGAAGCAATCGCTGCGTGTCTGTAACCAGAGTTTCTAGAAAGTGTAATCACACACCAAGTATTTTAACACTCAATAAGTCATATCTTCTTATTGAACATGTTTATTCTGTTATTTTTACATAGTTCAGTTTTGCATGAACTTGGCAAGTGGCTGCATGATATTCACTTAAATTCAAAAATACTTTATTAGTATTAGTATTCCAGTGTTTGTTCAGGATGTTGTATTCTGGTGAAGGTTCTCAGCCATCTGGGTCATGGGAATCCAAAGGGGTTCGAATGAAGGCAGCTGGACTTTGAAGACGTTTAGCTTCTCATCCGAGGAGCTTTGACTAGAATATGAAGCTCATAAACTGTAGCTTAACGAACTGAAACTGCCTATGAATACCCCTCCTTCCTACATCCCAAGGAGTAGTAGGAGTCGTTAGGCTCTATTTAGTGGGAATTGTTGTATTGATGTAGGAGGGTGTGGCCTAGACTGAAACTGTTTGGGAAATAGGTTGAGCGCTGCATTGTAGGTGCTGGAAAGGTGAAACCTGAGGCCACCTTCTCTATTTAATCTCGGGGTCTTGTTCACGAGTGAGGGTAGGAGGGATCGGGAGATCGACAGGCGGATTGGTTCCGCATCTGCAGTGATGCGGACGCTGAGCCGATCTGTCGTGGGGAAGAGGGAGCTGAGCCAGAAAGCCAGGCTCTCGATTTTCCGGTCGATCTACGTCCCAATCCTCACCTATGGTCATGAGCTTTGGGTAATGACCGAAAGAACGAGATCGCGGATACAAGCGGCCGAAATGAGTTTCCTCCGTAGGGTGGCCGGGCTCAGCCTTAGAGATAGGGTGAGGAGCTCGGACATTCGGGAGGGACTCGGAGTAGAACCGCTGCTCCTCCGGATCGAAAGGAGCCAGTTGAGGTGGTTTGGGCATCTGGTCAGGATGCCTCCTGGACGCCTCCCCGGGGAGGTGTTTCGGGCATGTCCTGCCGGCAGAAGGCCCCCGGGTCGACCCAGGACACGTTGGAGAGGTTACATCTCCAATCTGGTCCGGGAACGCCTTGGGGTCCTGCCGGAGGAGCTGGTGGACAAGGCCGGGGAGAGGACGGCCTGGAGCTCCCTAGTTGGGATGCTGCCCCCGCGACCCGGACCCGGATAAGCGGAGGAAGACGAGACGAGACGAGACGAGCTTCCCTTACTCCTCAAACCATCCGTCTTCTCTGTCCAGAATCCGTACTTCGTCATCTTCAAAAACAACACATTCTCACACCCGAAGCGTCGAAAAAGGACGCGGTGTGGCCAAGCGCTTGTCACAGGGGCTCCCAGTGCGTCGGGAGGCGACACTCTGTGTCAGAGCGTCGGTATCCGACGCCCGCGGTAAAACGGGCATTTGACCGAATTGTGACCTTTACCCTCTTGCTCTTTAACCTTCCCCTCACCTCCATCCTAACCTTAACCAGCTTGCGCATGCAAAGCTTTGTTTCGCATTTCATCGTTCCCCTCAACCACGCTTAATAGAAAATGTACACTTACATACTGGGTTAAGGTTACGATGGGGGTGAGGGGAAGGTTCAATCGCTAGAGGTTAGAAGTGAAATGTCCATTTTACCGCGGGCGTCAGATACCGACGCTCTGGCACAGCACGTCGGGAGGTGATGCACAGGGGCTCCCAATGCGTCGCAAACAAACGCTTGGTCACACAGCGTCATTTTTTTGATACTTAGGATGTGAGAATGTGTTGTCAAAAAATACATAGTGTGTCCGTTGTCCTTCAGGTGTAAGGGGAGTCTTGACCTGAAGAGCTGGCTCTTCTGTGTTGTGCAATGTGCTTGTGTAGTAGTTTAGTTTCCCCGATGTAAAGGTCTGGACAGTCCTCACTGCATTGGTCTGCATAAATGACGCAACAAAGCTTCTGTTTTTGTGTCTTGACTTTGGGATGGACCAATTTCTGTCTGACGGTGTTTAAACTTTAAACCCCACAACAACCTCAGGATGTTGAGACGACTCTCCATTCTTGCGTGCACGTGTAAATATATAGACTGGCCATGATTGTCTTTAAAACTGTCTCCAAGTGGACAATGCTAGGACCAAACTGACCAACAAACAACGTCATGTATTTTTGCATACTTTTACCGCTCAAACGAGCGCTGTTCCTGAGCTTCCATAATCTTTTTTGTTTTGTTGTGTTGCAGCTCGGTCGTAATGGAGCTGAGCTCTCTCAACTCCTGTCTATGAACATAGAGCACAAAGTGTCGTGACTGCCCCAGTTTACAGATCGACATGCACCTACAAAATCTTTTGCTACTGCTATGGTTTTTGTAGATTTCTGAACACTTGCATAAACTTTGAATCTCTGCACACGTTTCAGAGTAAAGGAGCGGGTTGTTCGAGTCCCTCCTGGTTACCAGTCAGACCTGGTCATCCAGCTGCTGTGGGTAGATGGAGAACCACCCCAGCAAATCACCAGCCTAGACATCAATTCTGCATATGGGCTGTAAGTCTTGCATGATGGTCTATCCCTCCATTTACTTGTTAGTTTAAAAATGACGACATCATACTGCGCATGTCTGGTTTCCATTGCTCTTTAAATACATTAGTGCATCAGACGACCTACAATGACTTAAATAAAGCAATCACAAGTTGGTTCATGCAACAAAAAGAAAGAATTTACCCAGAATTTAACCTTCAAGCTGCAGAAAACACTCACTTTTAACTGCACACCTGCTTTTCTGTATGCATGGTTCTGCCCATCTGCCTTACCTTTGACTGGGCTGCGTTTCAGTTTGTATAAACAGGGTTTTATGCATCAAGGTTATCTAAGGTCATATAAGGTTGCCGGATAACAACAGCAGGCTCTTTAAAGGATTCAGAAACCATTAGCTTAGCAACAACTTGGCAACATTTAATATGCAGCAGAATCCTTCAACACGTGGCTCAAGGACAATGTGAATTTAGCCCTGCAAGGGGAACACTGGCAACATTCACGTGATTAGCTAACAATAAAACTGGAAGTTTTTTGATGAGCGAAAGCAACAGCAATCAACTAAACTATAAAAAAAGAAATTACCTTTTGGCTGTAGCTAACACGGACAGAAAGGCTTGTTTTGTCAGCTGTGGCGAGCCTTTTATTGCTTATTTAGCTTTATTGACTAGTTTTCAACAGGAACTCAGCGGACAAAATATAAAAATCATAGCTCTGTATAAAAATAATGAGAAAAAGAGAAACTTCCTGTAGGTCAAGATTTGAGTTTCTCTTCTCAGTGTGTCATCTGAAGCTCCCCACAGTTTGAATACGCCACAGAAATTAATTTATCATTTTTGTGTTCAGCTGGCTTTTTCACTAATGTGTTCTCTTATTTAGAGACAAAACCAAAAGGAGACATTTTTAAATACGAAATTTTTCTGAATCATTGATGCCTTTTGAAATTTACTATACAAACAAAGCTGCCTTGCCTTTTGAAGTTGTGGAGGTGCTCAAACGAGACATCCCGTCACAAAACATATATTTTTTTTCCTTTTCAATAACTGAAAATGCATTTGGCGACACAAGGTCACCTCCTGCAATTATGATGAATCAATGAGTGTTTGAACCAGAGGAGAACTTTAATGTCACCATTTTCTGCATGAAGTGCAAAGCAAGATACCTTAGAAGGCCTTCTGCAACTTCTTGTTAAGAATGGTTTGGTTGTTTAAATATTTGATGATTGAATGAAGCTGAACATGGATGCTTGCTTTCCTAAATTAAAATTGCGTGTAGAAAAATGAAAATGGTTTTCTTATTTGATTTGTTTAACTGATAAAAGTTTTGATCAGAGCTGCATGGTGGCACAGTTGGCAATTCTACCTGTAATGAATTAGATTACGTGTTATTTAATAAGCCATAAGGCGTGGGATTCCATAGAAAATATGAAATCCACCTTAAGGATCTGTGAGTTATTTAAATCAGAAGATTGGATCTTTTTATTGCAGGGATTAGATAACCGCTTCGTATTCACTCAGAGACAACAGAAGAGAGAGAGTCAAGTTTATAAGTTAAAAAGTTGATTACTAACAAATTAAACTAGACTGACTTTAAAACTAAATGTATGGTGTAACTAAAGTGGATGAGATGGGGGATGGATGACGTGTGATGTTAATCAGAACCAGCAAATCCAAAGAAGCGATTAGTTCTGACAGGAACTGAAGGTGTTGTCTTCACATTAAGCTTTGGTTAGAAGGTTCATAAACACATGAGACACCATTATGTCGGTCTACCTACCCTCCAGGAAGTCTCCTTTAGATCAGGAATATCGAGGTCCAGCTTGACCCTCTTTGGAACCGAGCCGGTAGGAAAAGCCGCGGTTCCAATCAGACCAGTCTGTGAGTTACTTCCGGGTACACAACAGTTTGTTGGCGTCTGGTGAGACCCAAGCCTGGGTCCTGATGGTTCAGCTTTTATTCTGAAAGGAACTGTTGCCGCAGTTGGTATATCAACAAATTTTTCTTTTCAGCTTGTCGTTGGTTCTTTCGGTTGAAGAGTTTTAGATCAGGATTAGCCACTCCGTCACTTTCTCTGGAACGCTTTGAACTGGCGTTAGAGCTGACGTGGCATCGTTTTATACTTCGGATGTTATGGTTTATTGTCGAATGAAAAATTGCCAAACACCATCAGAAGCACGCCTCCGTCAGATCTGTAAGATTCTGATTGGATCAGTGAAAGTAATGTGTCATGTCTTTTTAACACTACGTGAAATGAGTCCTGTTGGAACATTTAAGGTTACAGACTTATTTTCTAAGATCATAATAAAATAATTAATATTTTAATTTCACAGATCGGTCACATCTTATTTATTGACTAACACTTTGATGGATTAGCTTTATTAAAATAGAGTTCTTCGATTAATTAAAAGAAAAGAGTTCATTCTTCATTCGTCTGTTGAACTGAAAATAAGCACGTTAGAAGGAATGCGTGAGACCTTGAGACCATATCTCATGCAGACTAGTCTTGAGCAAAGAAGGGAAAAACAGTCATTCCGTTCCGTTACATGCCTCAGAATAAAAAGGTTGCAGGTTTGAATCCCTTTTGGATAGCTTTTCTGTGCAGAGTTAACCCGTTCCCCGCAAGCATGCATTGGTTTTCTTTTACTCCAGCTTCCTCCAAAGGATCAAAAACATGCACGTTAGGTTAATTGGAGATTCCAGATTGTTCTCAGGTGTGGGTGGGTGGATGTCATTGTGGTTGTTTGTCCATGTGTCCCTACGATGAACTGGGGACCTGTCCAGGGTGTCCCTCTCCTCCTGTCCAATGACCACTGGAGACAAACACCAAGTCCCCCAAAAACCTTATGAGAATGAAGTGGTTTAGTCGGATGGATGGAGCTGCGAGAATAAAAATAGATAAAACATTTGTAAATTTTATCTTGCAATCACATTGTTGTAAGAAGCTCCAAACTTGCTTATAGAATAATAAAAGTTTACATTTCTGTAAATATCCTGGATCCTGCAATCCCAGTCTTAAATCTTTGACCATAAACAGATGAACCATTTGAATGGATTGTGAAGAGCAGTGATGTATACACAATGTGGACAGCAATTAGTGTTTATTCACTAACATCCTAGTTTTACACATTTATTAGTTTAACCCCTTGTGGACTATTGTTGAAAATTGGTGTCAGACCCCTTCTGGCACTAAAGCGTCCAGATGGAGTATTAGGATTAGTATATTCATCAAAAATCAACCTTCGACAGTCCTGCATTTTGTCTACTGCCCTCTGGTGGAGAATCTAAAGGCAGCAAGGTCTAATTCTGCTTGTCAGGGTTTTTTTTGTTATATAATAACATAATATAAAACACATTATAAAGCAAATAATTCAATTTTAAATCAGTTTGTTTTATATTTCAAGCGTTATGGGTTTGAAGAAAAAAACAAAATCTGAACCACGGATATTGAAATCTTAATCAAAAACATTACGTCGTGTTTGAAATGCAAGATTTATTTTTCTTCCACAAAGAAAAATTCAAAAGGCTTCGAGGGTTTCCAGGTTGCAGTAATTCTTATGGGAAATCTGGCGTTAATATTAAAGTCACTGCAGCACTTAAAGTGTGGGATAAAGACAGGCTTTTGTTGTCAGTAATTGCATCAAAATGTCACAGGTAATTTCACAGTATTAGATAACACTGAACCTTTAATGTCAGTGAGAATAGCCTTGTGAAACGAGATAAACATGCTTCCTAACTGTGCTTTCCTCCACCCAGCTTGGCGTTCGGGAACTGCAACGGGCTGGCGGTGGTGGACTATCTGCAAAAAACAGTTATCTTGTGTATGTCGACTGTGGACCTGTACGGAGCCACTGACCCCTATCAGCGCCTTACTCGTTCCCCCCGCAGGAACAGACAGTCCACCTCAGGTAGCACGCACAAGCATCTCTGGGAATTGACCTCACACACCTGCACTCACACTCAGAGTAAAATGCCGAATACTCACACATTGTGCATAAATTCTAGATTCTGTCAGATCCTGTTCTGTCACACACAACACGAACACCATGTTATGAGATGCATGTAAACAGGTTGTGTGTCATCTAACACTGGCAGTTATATGCATGTTGTCATCCGGTTTCCCCTGTTTGAGTCCTGCTTGATGACATAATTGTAGTTTAAAGCCACAGAGGTGTTGTTCCTGACCCCCGTCTTCCTTTTCTCTGCTTCCTATCTTGGCTGGCAATAGCCTAGCAAAAAAATAAGGTACACTCAATGTGCTACAGTTATAATCACCCCCACCATCTGGAGCAGAAAATGTAATCTGATGTGCGAGCCACATTTTTTATTTGACAAAAAAACTAACTTTTGCCAAAAATCTTCAGCAATTTATGTCGAAGTACTGGAGTTGTTATTACATGTTGAAATAGAAAAAAATGCAGAATTTTGAGTCCTAGAGATTGAATTCGAAGCACTTTCCATGCTGGAGTTAATCCAAGCCGAATAAACGACTTTAAGAACACCTTCCCAAAGGTCAAGTGACGAGTTGCTTTCTGATTTGTCTTCATGAAGTTTTGTTCCGTCCTTCCCGACACATTTCTAGCTGTTGTCACCACACATTTGTATTTGTAAACAACACTGTGTGCACAATTGTCAGGCCAATAAGCATATTCTTGGATTTTTAAACAATTCCTATCAATGATTACAAAATGATAAATTTATTAAAAAATGTCCTTCCATACATGATTTTAAAAGAGAAAGGCGAAGAAGAATCAAACATGTTTAGTAACTGTGTCTAACCTCTGCTCTAAGCTGAGCAAAGCTGCGTTCGTAAAGTTGGCACTCAAATATATAAAAAGGCTAAAAGAAAACAAACTTGAAATGAATGAGAAATTAGAGCAGAAATCTGGAGTTTTTTGTCAGAGGCCGCCATCTAGAGGGGGAAACATTTATCACACCCCAAGCCAGTCTCACTACTTCTGAGAGTATGGCTGAAAGCAACGCCTTTAATTCATGAACGTGCTGCTCTAGACGTCAACAGAACTAAAACGCTTTGTTTTACAACTAATATTCTCACGTTATGCTGTTTAACTCTTATTTATAGAAACTTTAAAGGCTTAATTGTTAATAGGAAATGCCACCATTTCTGCATCAGTTGGTACGCCCACAAACATAAACCCCAACTTCATGCTGGAGGCATCAGCGGCATGGAAAGTCACTGCTTCACATAGAAGGCATTAAAGTTTATGGGCTAAATCAAACCAGCTGCAGCATTTAAAATTTTCAGGTGCATCACAGAAGCATCTAGCAGATCGAGCCACGCTGCTAAATGTAGAATTGGGTTCTAGTTTTTGCCACGAGCCGCTTCTGGGACAAGTCCAATTTTAGCAGTTAACGTAGGGCCAGACAGAAAATCACATACGGCTTTAGTGTAAAACATCCAGTCATTTTCAAAATGAGACTACTGCAGCGCTGCTACTTCATATCTATGTAGATTACGTAAATACATGCAACCTAAGGAGCGCATCAGTGTGTTTTTCAGGGCTTTAATCCTGGCAGGGGAGAGAAGCAACAATATGTACGACATCAAACGCGATTTCCTCCTCCTTTTTGGTTTAATGGCGAATGGTACAAACAAACTGTGACCTTTGAAGTCTTGAGGGATTTAGTGATCCTGCGAGTCCAGCGAGGACAGCAGAGAAGCCGCCCTGAGGCTGGAAATCTCCCGGTGTAGATATGCACGCAGCGAGGCTCGCTAGCAAAATGTTCCCCGGCGCTGATGCCTCCAGTGTAACGTCTGGGTTACGCTATTAGCTAATGCTGTGGGTGCTTATTTCAAATTGCACGGGGCTCTACAGGACGTGCACGGGCCTAGCAAAAAAGGAATTGACATACATTATATCATAGTACAGGGTAAGGCAATGAGATTTTTGGATTTCTGAAAAAAATCCCACAAAGTTCCTGAAAACTCCAGATTGCTGCTTTAAGGAGATGAAAATATCTTTGCAGACAAAATACACCACTACACTCTTTTAGTGGGTCATGGTGTAAAAGGATAATTGACTCATTAAATGTGTGTATTCATTATAAGTAAATAAACCTGCTTCGACCTGCATTAAATTATCTGTTTTATGAAGACTGCTGCATTTGTTCAACAATAAAAATCAAACCTAAAGAATACAATTTGCCCCAAAATTGTGCATGCAGTGTTCACCTACAATAAGTCAGTCAAATGTTTTTATTTTGTGAAATTTATTGTTATGATTTAGCACTTTTTTTTAACTTAATTGGCTTAATGAAAATATCGCAACAATTAGCTGGTGCAGCAGGAGATTTATTTGGATGTTGCTGTTCTCAGTAATGATACATGCTAACACAGTGGTTTTTCTGTGCAAATGATTCATCACATCAGCATTTCTGGGGGCTGCTGGAGGAGTTGGTATTTCTTGTCTGTCCTCCCCTGACGCTAACTCAGTTGCTGCTTTCTCTCACTACTTTCTTTTCCACTCTTAAGCCTGTGTGTTCTTCTCTCCTCTCCTCCCTCCAAACCCCTCACCCCCTGCCTTCCCTCCCAAAAATGTTTTCTCCCTCTTGACGTTATGTCCTCTTTCCATCCTTTTTCACCCCAACTCACAATGCTTAACTCTCTCTTGCTCCTTTCCCATGTCCTATCTCAAATCTCTTCCCACACCTCTCACTCTTTTATCCTTCCTCCTTCCTTCCTCCTCCTCATCCTCCCACCTTTTGGTGACTCTGTGGCTGCTGATGTGGGCATGTGGGCCCTGCCTGACAGAGCATTGCATGCGCGGCCTGTCTAACTTTTATTCAGATTCCAAGAAAAGGATCCGTACATCCTATCAGAGTAAGTCGGGCCATCGTATAGTAAAAGCTGGGTGGGGGGGGTTGTGTGTGTGTGTGTGTGTGCAGGAGGGATTGGGTGTTTTGCAGGTTTTTGTAGGAGAGAGGATTAATATCTTGGTGCAAAGCAACAAACAAAAGAATTGATTGGAATATGAATAATTCTGGGTGTAACCTTCCTTTGCCCTGCACATAGCTGCCCTTATTCCAGTCATGTCTGCAGTTTGTCCTTTGCAGAAGGACAGACACGCCTCGAGTCCCGTTAAGTAAGGTCGAGTTGTAAATATTAGACAATCCATGGTGATGGATTTTTCAAATAAATCAAACTTAGTGGGGGTGAAGGTAGCCTCATCCATGCACTGAGTCTGGAAAAAGATTAATCGTGTTCCTTGAGTCTGTGGTCACCAAGAATTCCTTGATTCAGTAAAGCTTCAGTCTTTCAAGTCATTCGTCAAAAGAAAATTAGAATTAGGATAGGCTTTAACTGAGAGATGATACAGTGGTGTGAAAAACTCTTTGCCCCTTCTTGATTTCTTGTCCTTTTTCATGTTTGTCCCACAAAATGTTTCTGATCATCCAAACACATTTAACCATTAGTCAAAGATAACACAAGTAAACACAAAATGCAGTTTTGAAATGAAGGTTTTTTATTATTTAGGGAGAGAACAAAATCCAAACCTACATTGCCTGTGTGGGAAAAGTAATTGCCCCCTGAACCTAATAACTGGTTGGGCCTCCCTTAGCAGCAATAACTGCAATCAAGTGTTTGAGACTCGCGAGCGCAAATATACATGGCAGCGGCGCGTGTGAACGGGACTCGCGAGCGCAAATATACATAGCGAGAGGTCATTTGTGCACTGAGAGGGAGCAAACTGTGTCTGTGAGCGCACAAGGATGTGCACAAGTGACAAACCTGCGTGCGCGCGTTGTCAACGAGCACACGGCAGAGGAAAACGTGCGCGCAGCGGCAGCCTCTGTGCTGCGCTCGGCAGCCTCTCTGCGCGCTCGGTTTCTGACTCCTGCTCGCTCGGCTGTAAGGGCTTTTGGCACTCTGGAGGCGTGGCCTGTGGCAGATCTTCTCTGTCCTCTGATTGGTTAGTTTACCTCCCGCACTTTACCCTCTATCTATAAAAAAAAGTCTGCTATGCAGTAGTTGCTGGCATAGCTCAGCCTGGGAGAGTGGGTGACTCTCGCCCCGGAGGATCCAGGTTCTAGTCCGGCCAAGGAAAATGTAGTAGACGTCATGTTAATTTTTCTTAATTTCAGGTATTTTACAGTTGTTGGACCGTTCAACTGTCATTAAACGTCCGAATGTTTGCTGGGCAGTGTTTTAAAAAAGTGCACATAAGCTAGATGGCTTTAACCATATAAAATTACATTTTTTGTGATACTGGAAAAAATACATACTGAAATAAAACTACTGGTTGAAAACTTTATGACTGTGGTTGTACAATATATGACTCACTAATACACTGCAAACTCCCTTAGAGTGGGGCTTCCAGAGAGAGAGAGAGAGATGAGAGAGAGGAGAGAGAGAGAGAGAGAGAGAGAGAGAGAGAGAGAGAGAGAGAGAGAGAGAGAGAGAGAGAGAAGAGAGAGAGAGAGAGAGAGAGAGAGAGAGAGAGAGAGAGAGAGAGAGAGAGAGAGAGAGAGAGAGAGAGAGAGAGAGAGAGAGAGAGAGAGAGAGAGAGAGAGAGAGAGAGAGAGAAGAGAGAGAGTGAGAGAGAAGAGAGAGAGAGAGATGAGAGAGAGAGGAGAGAGAGAGAGAGAGAGAGAGAGAGAGAGAGAGAGAGAAAAAGTTCTTGCCTCATTAATGAATTGTTTATTTTTTTCAGTATTTAATTGACAAATTATCCTTTCAAATAATTAATTGATGAGTTACATAATTGTCCATTTCATAAAGAAACTGCATATCAAGCTTTCATTCAGATGACCTTCAACAGTGCTGCACCCTGCTGAGGGACATCCGAGTAAAACCTTGAGATGGCCATTTTCTGTTCACTAACTTGCTTAGTAAATCCTTACTTTTGTTAAATAAATCAGTTGTTGAACCCCCACTCCTCTGTTTGGTCTCCTTTCTTATTACAGCCCACCACTTCCAGTCTGGGTTGTAACAATCTGCAGACAGATTTCTGAGTATCTCCTCCTTTACACAGATCCTCACTGAGCCATGTACTGTGAACAAATAGTTTCTCCATGATATTATCCAGCAAGGTCCCGTTTTTTGTCAAAACAAGGGTGAGGTAAAGAAAAAATAGAAATATTTCATTAAATTAACATTTAAATTATTTATATGCATCATTAAAATAAAAAAACATGTTTTGAAATATATAAAGTGCACCAAACTTGACTCAGTCCATTCAACAATTCTAAATGGACAATTATGTAACTCATCAATTAATTATTTGAAAGGATAATTTGTCAATTAAATACTGAAAAAAATAAACAATTCATTAATGAGGCAAGAACTTTTCTCTCTCTCTCTCTCTCTCTCTCTCTCTCTCTCTCTCTCTCTCTCTCTCTCTCTCTCTCTCTCTCTCTCTCTCTGTCTCTGGAAGCCCCACTCTAAGGGAGTTTGCAGTGTATTAGTGAGTCATATATTGTACAACCACAGTCATAAAGTTTTCAACCAGTAGTTTTATTTCAGTATGGATTTTTCCAGTATCACAAAAAATGTAATTTTATATGGTTAAAGCCATCTAGCTTATGTGCACTTTTTAAAACACTGCCCAGCAAACATTCGGACGTTTAATGACAGTTGAACGGTCACAACTGTAAAATACCTGAAATTAAGAAAAAGTAACATGACATCTACTGCATTTTCCTTGGCCGGACTCAAACCTGGATCCTCTGGGGCGAGAGTCACCCGCCCTCCCAGCTGAGCTATGCCAGCAACTACTGAATAGCAGACTTTTTTATATAGATAGGGGTAAAGTGCGGGGTAAACTAACCAATCAGAGGACAGAGAAGATCTGCCACAGGCCACGCCTCCAGAGTGCCAAAAGCCCTTACAGCCAAGCGAGCAGGAGTCAGAAACCGAGCGCGCAGAGAGGCTGCCAAGCGCGCACAGAGGCTGCCGCGCGCGCACGTTTTCCTCTGCCGTGTGCTCGTTGACAACGCGCGCACACAGGTTTGTCACTTGTGCACATCCTTGTGCGCTCACAGACACAGTTTGCTCCCTCTCAGTGCACAAATGACCTCTCGCCATGTATATTTGCGCTCGCGAGTCCCGTTCACTACGCGCGCCGTGGACCCAATGCGCGTGCACGGGTTGTGGCACGCTTTAAACGCCATACAGAATTCATGGTTCCATTTATCACAGCAAGCCTTCCAGTTCCTGAAGGAGCACAGCAACCCCAGACCATCACACTACCACCACCATATTTTACTGTTGGTATGATGTTCTTTGTCTGAAATGCTGTGTTACTTCTACGCCAGATGGAACGGGACATTTGCCTTCCAAAAGTTCAACTTTTGTCTCATCAGTCCACGAGGTATTTTCCCAAAAGTCTTGGCAATCATTGAGATGTTTCTTAGCAAAATTGAGACGAGCCCTAATGTTGTTTTTGCTTAACAGTGGTTTGTGTCTTGGAAATCTGCCATGCAGGCCATTTTTGCCCAGTCTCTTTCTTACGGTGGAGTCGTGAACACCGACCTTAATTGAGGCAAGTGAGGCCTGCAGTTCTTTAGAAGTTGTCCTGGGGTCTTTTGTGACCTCTCGGATGAGTTGTCTCTGCGCTCTTGGGGTAATTTTGGTCGGCCGCCCTCTCCTGGGAAGGTCACCACTGTTCCATGTTGTTACCATTTGTGGATAATGGCTCTCACTGTGGTTCGCTGGAGTCCCAAAGCTTTAGAAATGGCTTTATAACCTTTACCAGACTGATAGATCTCAATTACTTTTGTTCTCATTTGTTCTTGAATTTCTTTGGATCTTGGCATGATGTCTAGCTTTTGAGGTGCTTTTGGTCTACTTCTCTGTGTCAGGCAGCTCATATTTAAGTGATTTTTCATTGAAACGGGTGTGGCAGTAACCAGGCCTGGGCGTGGCTACAGAAATTGCATGCAGGTGTGATACACCACAGTTAGGTTATTTTGTAACGGGGGGGGGGGGGGGGGGGGGGGGTGATTACTTTTTCACACAGGGCAATGTAGGTTTGGATATTTTTCTCCCTAAATAATAAAAACCGTCATTTCAAAACTGCATTTTGTGTTTACTTGTGTTATCTTTGTCTAACGGTTAAATGTGTTTGATGATCAGAAACATTTTGTGCGAGAAACATGCAAAAAAAATAAGAAATCAGGAAGGGGCAAATAGTTTTTCACACCACGGTATTTAAACGATTTAAGCATTTTAACTGTGGCGGCTCGTTGAAGCCATTAATGAGTCTGCGGTGAATGCAGCTCAAACACCCCATAATCTTAATTTAACAATAAACAACAAGACCCATCGTAGTCATGCCAGCACACATAGCTGGGAGAAAGGATTTTGTTTTGACTTGTGCTTGCTGCATGTATTCCGACTTGAGATGATCCTGACTGGACTTGTGTTCTGTTTTGAGTTTTGATCGTGTACACCACTTTATGTTGTGATTTGCACTGCGTACTTTAAATGTCAAATTGTAAAGACATTTGCATCCTAATGTGATCTGGTCGATACTAAGAATAGTTCCCTGTTAATCAGATTGTAGTGCAGGTCACACTAACGGTCAGCCACTCCACCCACAGAGAGCAAACCCGAGAAGCGTTAAAGCTGGGTTCTGTGGAGTAACGGCATTGAAGAAATGTCAGAGAGGATATTCACATTCAAACGGCGAGCTGAAAGCTACGCCTCATACCACGTACCCAATAGCCTTGTAGTGCTAACGGATAAGTAATGTTTTTAATATCTTCCTGCTCAGACTCACCTGATCGGGATCAGCAGGTGATACTAATCACTATTCAAACAGAGAATTGTCAAAAACCAACAGACTCGTGATGCTAGTATACCCCTGCTATTGCTACAACAAGCTAGCAAGGTTGGATGCTATGCTAATGACTTAGCTCCAATAAACTGTCCAATGATAATAAAAAATAGATTTTTGTGATTACTAGCTTCACAAATGATAAAACAGTTGGAACCCATTGGATCTAAAGACCCAACATGCTCACTGTGGGTTATGTGTGGCTGGCACTGTCCACGTTCGTTTCTGCTGAGTCTGCACTCCCAAAAAACATAATCTAACAAAGAACATGAATCTCTTCTTCCTCACGCCTGCCGCTGGCTACATCAGGCCTTACTGAACTCAACGACAACCAGCAGTCCGTCGACATGGAGAGGAGCAAGTCTCCAACTTCAGGTAACGCGCACACACAAACACACCTTGCTCGCTATGCGGATGTGTTTTAATCGCTGAAACTGTTCTGGAATGATGTCGACTTTAAACTGGAGTTGCAGCCTTTCATACATTCACTTTCTTAAGGTCGTCCTCGCTGGATGAAAACGGCGGTTTATGATCAGCCATGTTAGATGGAAATCTTTGATTGCAACAAAAGATTTTACGGTAGTTTTGGCGTCAGCATCTCTGTTTTATTTGCAGCTGTGTAGCCATCTTTAATATTAAATAATAATAAACACTGTTTTGCTTGTCCGATTGAATAATTGTTTAGCATCTGATAGCATAATAGCTCGTGCTTGATGCTGCATTCTTTAAAGAGACGTACTTCCTGAGTAAAAACGTGTAATAGAGCGTGGTTGTTTTTGTAAATGTGTTAAAGTTGATGCTGCATTTGTTGTCACTTGCATCAGAAATGTGTTTTTATATATAACAGAATGGAGCGCTGAGGAGCTCCAGGTTTTTTTTTAGAGATAAACAAACTATTAGATGGGTTTTTTCAGCTTGTTGGAGTCTGCACGGTTAGAGATAACAAAAGAGAAATGTGAGAAAGATAAGAATATTTTCAATCAAGACCTTTTGTATCTTAACACTTTATCTCTGTGGATTTTGAAGTTAAAGGTTACATTGAGAGACAGCGCTTTGTGTGTGTGTGTGTGGGGGGGGGGGGGTTAGATGGGCATTATGTGTGCAAAAACTTGTTCCACTGATTCGCCACAACATTATGACCACTGACAGTTTGCCAGAAGTCCTGCCTCGACAGAAGGGCCCTTAAAACAGGATGGTTGACTTGGCAAACACGTTTGGAAAAACTCAGAACATGAAATCTCTTTTTTCTTCCAAACTCACCAAGTATCTGATAGAAGCTGGTTGCATCATTAGATCACTACACAGTTGAATCTGCAGAAAAACTCAAAGGATCCTCAGTGGGTTTTCAAGAAAAGTGCATCAGGTTGAAATAATTGTCGAGTTGAACCAATTTAACTGCATAGTTGGGTTTGTCATCACCAAAATGAACTTAAAAGAACAAGTTACTCCTGATAAACTATATAAATGGGTGGATAATAGTCTTGTAGTCATTATTTTGGGCATTTTAGCACATCCTATTTAAATTGTAATAATTCAGCCTAAAATCATCAGTGCAGAGCCCTTTTCAGGTTAAAACTTGAAAAAACTAAAAATGCACACTGTGACGTTGCTGGTACACCACTACGTCAGCTGGGCTGGCTGTGGACTATAAAATAGCCACGTCTCAGGCTAATCCATGCCTCTGTAGCGAGTTAGATTAGGAAAAGGCAACTCAAGAGCCATGGGTTTGCAGTCTGTCACTCACTGCCACAGACCTACCCTCCAGGTCCTCCAGGCAAAGCCTCCTTGTGGCTGGAAATGTGGGCGGAGCAAAACTCCGTAGGTAGGAGGTAACTTGTTCTTTAAGGCTCTTATTCACTCATAATTTCATTACATTTGCTTGTGTCTCAGTATAAATGAATGAGTTTTTGAGTCATTTTCTGTAGAAAAAGAAACTCTTGCACTCCTGATTCAGGAAGTAGAAGTTAGCAGGAGGAGTGGGGGCAGAAAATGTTGGTATTTGAAGTCTTCTTCGTTAATATTCATGATATGCAGACATCTTGCATCTGATTTGCACACATCAGTGTAACTCTTCCACTGCCTCTGTTCGCTCTGCAATGCTGATGTTTTATCTCCACAAATAACACAAGCCTGCCATGTTGTGGAGTTGATAATGCTAATGATTAGCTTCGACTGAGACTTGCTCTGCTCTCTCCTGGAATCAACAACAGCCTTCATTGTCGGGAGCCAAGATGGTCGAGTCCATGAATGCTAATTTACAGTGTCATGTAGATCTGTGTGGCTTTTAGTGTATATATATATATATATATATATATATATATATATATCTTTTTTTTTATCAAAATATTTTCCTGTTGGCGGCCAAAGCAAGAAATACGAGTAGAAGCCTATTTTCATGTTTAGCTTGCATGTGAAACTCAAGAGTGACCGATTGTATTTTAGAAAATAATGAGATAAAACAATTTGTCAGTGAAACTAGTAGTGATGCATCTTATCTGATTCATTTATTTATTTAGCATGTGACTTTCCTAATGAATGCAAATTATTTGATAAAAAAAAGCTGCAACAAAAATGAGTAATTTAAAAAAAGACTCTTGTCGTCCATCTTCAGGTTTTTTTGTCATCTGCGTGTGTTTTTATTTTTATTTTTTATTATTATTAATGCTTTGGTCCAACACAGCTGCATCAAATTAATGGGTCATTATCAGGCCTCAGCAGACGTGGATGAATAGCTGACGGTGTGAATTGTGGGTGTTGGAGAAAGTAAACAGGTATAAGATGCAGAGATGCAGGGCTGAAAATGATGCTTGGGAAATGCTGACTCTAATTAACAGGTCAAACTTAAACTACAACTCATCATGGAGCCATGTTTAATAGAATTTCTCTTTCAAAAAAAATAAAAATAAACATCTGACAGCGTTTGTGAACTTAACAGCTGCAATCTTGAAACTATTTGCTGTCAGGGTTTAAAATCCCTTTTAATAGTTGCCTTGATGGTCAAATTATTCCATTCAGATTATTTTTGGCAAGGAGATTTTCACTTTGTTTTCAAGACCTCCTGAAATTGCAGCCAGTTTTTCTAAACTTTCAAAAGATTGATGTAGTTTAAACCTTTAACTGTCAGTTAAATTGAGTAAAACAATTTCCAGAGATTGCCTGGAAGATTATGTTTGAGGGCTAAATGTTGTTATGCTTTTAAACTGAGAAAAGTTATAATAGGAGTTTGTATTTAGTAAGTAAGTAAGTAAGTAAGTAAGTAAGTAAAAGTTTATTTATACAGCGCCTTTCACAGATATAATCACAAAGCGCTGTACAACCTGCTAAAGATCAGGGCAAATACCTCTAACCAATAAAAACATCCGAAAAACAATGGCAGTGATAAAGTAGAAAATAAAATCATGAGTATAAACAAAGTGAAGGTGTGAACTCAAACAAAGCCATCATTTTGAAACATTTAGGGAGGGAACGCCTGGATGAAAAGATGAGTTTTTAGATGATTTTTAAAGACCTCTACAGTGTTAGAAAGACGGAGATTTGAAGGCAGACTGTTCCAAAGTCTGGGTGCAATAGTCTGAAAGGCCCTGTCCCCTTTGGTTTTCAGTCTGGTTCGAGGAACAGCCAGGAGGTTTTCAGATGTGGATCTAAGGTTCCGAGAGGTGGTGTGTGGGGATAAAAGCTCAGATAGGTAGCTTGGAGCCTGGTTGTTAAGAGCTCTATAGGTCAGGACTAAAACTTTAAACTGTATTCTATATTCTACCGGGAGCCAGTGGAGGGACTGTAAAACTGGAGTGATGTGAGCTCGTCTGCTGGATTTGGTTAGGAGTCTGGCTGCTGCATTTTGGATGGCTTGAAGGCGTGAGAGGGAGGTTTTGCTGAGACCAGTAAAAAGAGCGTTACAGTAGTCTAAGCGTGATGACACAAAGGCATGGATGATTTTTTCCAGATCTGCAGTAGAAACCAGTTTACGGACTTTTGAAATGTTTCTCAGTTGAAAGAAACAAGAGCAGGAGAAGGTTTTGACGTGTGAGTCTAAACTTAAAGCTGGATCAAAAATAACTCCTAGGTTTCTAATGTTGGCCTTGGCTGATGGGCAAAATGAGGCAATTTCTTGCTCGATTTTTGGCTGAAGTTCTGGGGGTGCAGCAATCAGGGTCTATGTCTTGTTAGCATTGAGGACAAGAAAGTTGCTGGACAGCCAGTTACTGATCTGGGTCAGGCAGAGTACAAGTGTGGCCAGCCTGTCCAACTGGTGTGGCATAAAGGACATGTAGAGCTGAATATCGTCAGCGTAGATGTGGTAGGAGATGCCTGGGAAAGACAGAATGATGCCAGCTAGGGGAAGAATATAGAATGCGAATAGTAGAGGCCCTAGAACTGAACCTTGTGGGACCCCGCATGTTAGAGAGGCAGTGTCTGAAGAGAAGGTTTCGGACTTCACTGTGAATGTTCTGTTGGTGAGATAGGAAGAGAGCCAGTCTAGAGCAGAACCTGAAATCTCAGCCAGGGCCTTTAACCTGTTTAGTAGAACAGAAGTCTCACAAACACTAATAGGCCACAGCAAAAAAAATTTAGCTATTAGCATTTAATTATTTTTTGGAAGGGAAGAAATGAAAAGCCATAAAAATAGTAAAAAATAATCATTCCAGAGAATCCAGGCCCTTACTGATGTTGCTTTGAGCTTATATCAACATTTTCACACTGGTTCTTAAAGGTGCAATATGTAAGAATAAAGTAAGATTGATGACAAAGTCTTTATTTTGAATATGTAAACAGAAAGTAAAAGAACAATACTTAATAATAATAATAAATGAATGGCATCCTTTAGTCAAATTTGGTTACTGAAGTCTATTTTTCTATGTAAAAAATTACTTTCTCACTCACTGAAGACTGTTCTGAGTTTCACAGCTGTTGCCAGTTACCGATCAGTGCCAGAAGATTCTAGATGGCCAACAAAGATGAGTCATACACAGTAAGTTAAGTAGATAAATACATTATGATATCTGGTGATAGCACTCTTGGGTGTTTTGTAGTAGGGGCACTCACTACACTTTCTATGGTAAAATGTCCCCAGCATTAGAGGAAGTATGGTTGTTTGCCATGTTGTTATCGTTCTGACTGACTCGTTATAGGAAGTAAAACGCCACGATTGACTCATTATTCACTTCACACGTACATTTCACTGTAATATCGAGTAGTTGGTAATTGAAAAAGTAGCTTGAGATTTTTTTAGAGCTGACTATTTGCTTCTAATTCACTGTTAGCATTGTTAACTCAATTGGCCTGTAGCCTTCTTTACTCTTCTTTACTTCTTTAGAGTAAAACAAAAAGATGCCGTGGCTTCTTAGGGGTACATGAAATAACTTCTGGGTCCCTCC